GCTCAGTCTATATTGGCTTGGGCCACAGGTATGGTTTGAATTCTAATTTTCTATGTATAATATTATATTTTTCAATTTGTCTTGAAACTTTCAACCTTGCTACTTAGCGGCTTCTGATCTGGTGCACGTACTGCATAAAAAGTTGCGAATAATCATGAATTGGAAGAAATACTTGTGGGTTGTTAGAGTGCAGTACTTGTTCAATGGTTTCTACAGAGCGTTCCGAATCCCAGCCGCTAAAGACCCACAGAAGGCAAGAAGCTTGCGTTGCAAAGCTGCTGTCCCGCCTGACTGCGGAGAAAGAAGACTCGTTTATGGTTGTTCTACAGCCGCTGCTGACGTCCATCAGCTCTGTCCTGCTCCCAGCTGCAGATAGGCCTGGATTTCAATGAGTCGTGTCCCAACTCCGGTGTGAACGATTTCCCGACGTCAAGACGAAGTGGGGTCAAGTCATGGGTGTTGCAAGGAAGCTGTCACAAGATGATCCGGTATTGAACGGTAGGTTTTGTAAAGCTGCTCTAACATTTGGATCCTATAAATTATAACATTAAATTATTATTTGTATTCACGAAGCCATGCCCAAGACGTGCGACATAGCGTGCGTTCGTGTGTATGTGTGTGCGTGCGTGTGTATATTGTGTGCGTGTGTGCGCGCTTGTGTATGTCGTAAAATCCCGCCAGAGCACCCCTACCTCCGGAACCATTCGAGTAGATCCATTTGGGGAGGGGCGGATGGGCGAGTCCTGCTTGCCGCATTCAGTACTACATGAAAAAGTACTCACCCTAAGAAAACTGTGCGTGCGTCTCGTACACCCAACAAAAGTCAAGAGCTGGGAGTCGTACAAACCCATCAAAACCCTAGGGTGTGTGCGATCTCTGGTCAAGAGGGTGGGAACTGTTGCGTACATTTCCAACCAGGTCGTAGACGCGTCTGCAGTACAGTACAACCTCACACTTCACATAGTCATACGAGGATCCAACTCTATTGATAGATAAGATAACGTACTTGTAGATCTCTGCCATGCCAAAGTTGCATTCAGTAGAGGTAGTAGTCTCTGTCAAACGTGTTTGCCATTGGCTCACGGCACTTGTAGCAGCTGATCGGACGATGCAAATGGACTCCCAGTCCACATTAGCTGGTTCTTGATATGCCTTCGAAAATATACCATGGCACGAACTTTCCACTGTTGTTACATAGGGCCGGACGTGTGTTGTCCTGAGCTTGCCACGATACTTTCCGATCTGTCCATCTCCTCTCTTTGTTAAGTTGAAATTATTTGAAGAGCTGATGGCTGGTAACTTGCTGGTCAGCTGGTAGGAATACGTTTGCAAGTGTTGCTGCTGATTTGTACATTAAATTGCCAGAGTGACGTGGCCTTGAGTAGTCTTCCCCAGCAATGAACTGAAGAGTAGCATGCGTATTGAATTCTCTTGTTGCCGGTTCATCGGCCCCTCTCCATGACACCGGACTAGACTGAATTACTGGCGTCCCTTCATCGGCCTGCTTTTCGCCTCGAACTTCACGAGTCTTGAAATCTGGACCCAACATAATAAAAGTGGGACTCAATTGCGCAGTTCAGACGATAAATTGATGCAATAAGGGGTCATCGCAAAAGTGATTAGTCATCCCTGAAAAAAACATCATTCATTTCGTACTCGGACCTCCTCTCCACCCTCCGAAATGAATGGACGACGAAAATCGCATGCATGTACATGTGTATGCATAGCGTCAGTCGACTGAGATTTTAGCTCCCCCCCCCCCCCCCCCCCCCCCTGGAACGATCTTCGTTTCAGGGACAACCAAAAACTTGTGTGACCATTGACTTTCTTTCTCTGTTATCAGGCAGTATGCATTATTTGTAACAGTAATTACTTGTCTGTGTCATGTGGATGCATTGTCTTATTTCCTTTTTCAGGCTACAGCACCACCGAGAGAACGAAATGTACGTCGCAATCAAGCTATGTTGTTGCCATCTTCTATGTGCCATGCGTTACCTGATGTGCCAGCCTGCTATGTCGGATACCGCTAACCATGCATCGACTAGGCGCCAGGCGCGAACTGATGGTGGTGGTGGTGGTGAGAAAGAGAGCTCTGTAACAGGATAACTTTGCAGTTTAGAGAGCGTGTCTGGGCAGGCGTGTATTTACTACCTAGTATTTACCCCCATATTGCCAGGTGTATATTTACCACCATATGAACCAACCATAAGTGCAGTTGCAGTGGAGTCTTCAACTTCATTCTCCTGAGTCAAAAAGCTGAGCTTCTTGTGAAGACATCTAAGAAGAAGATTGCCTGATGAGTCCAGCCGGGACGAAAGGTACGTCGCAATCAAGCTATGTTGTTGCTGTGTCATCTGCTATGCGCCATACGCTACCTGATGTACTAGCCTGCTATGTCGGACACCACTCACCCTGCATCGACTAGGCGCCAGACGCGAACTGATGATGGTGGTGGTGACGGGAAGGAGAGCTCTGTGCCAGAATAACTTTTCAGTTTAGAGAGCGTGTGTAGGCAGGTGTGTATTTACCGCCGTATGAATCAACCACAGTACGATCAGCTGACGTTATTACTTATAAGGATGATCTCGTGCAGCGATATTATTGATATTTTTTAAGTCTTTTCTAAGGACTCTCCACTGCAGCGTTTTCTTTCCACTCGGTTCTCTTCTTTTCATCGCTCAGCTTGCACTTGCAATGCTTATACATACTGATCAATCCCGTTCAATTTTCCGTACATTTTTCTCAAAATCCATAGCGTGGACGAAGTAGTGATTTTCCGTACAAATATGGAAAATACGGAAGGTTGATAGCACTGTGTTGAGGCAGATATTGTTGACTTTATTTGGAATTAATTCTGTCGTATTTGCACACATTCCTGAGTGCATTGTATTACTATTAGCATCCAATGTGTGTTATCTGTGCGAGCTTCTAACCTTGTGAACATTCACCGAAGGTTCGGTTGGTGGCGCACAAGATCATCCGGGATGGCTCTTGCGGGTTCTCAGCCCTGCGTTAACTGCATAAAACTTGGCAGAACAGTTCAAGTTTCAATTTAGGCCATTTCCTCACTCTGTGACTCCCAATATTTCACATGTGCAATGATTATAAGTATTGTAGATCACTGGGACAGCGCCACTTTGTTAGCCGATGTTAGTCCTGAAGAAAAATTGACTTCATTGCCCTAAAGGTGAGAAGAAATTGGGACTATTTGTGAAGGAAAACTTTGGAAAATGTAATTTCGAATAAAAGTCATTACGTTTATCTGGATAGGTCCAATATTTCACAAATGTGCAATATAAGTATTGTAGATCACTGGGACAGGGCAACTTGGTCTGTCGAAGTTAGTCACGAGGAAAAAAATTACTTCATTGCCCTAAAGGTGAGAACAAATTGGGACTATTTGTGAAGGAAAACTTTGGAAAATGTAATTTCGAATATAAGTCATTTCGTTTATCTGGATAGGTCCAATATTTCACAAATGTGCAATATAAGTATTGTAGATCACTGGGACAGGGCAACTTGGTCGGTCGAAGTTAGTCACGAGGAAAAAAATTACTTCATTGCCCTAAAGGTGAGAAAATATTGAGGCAATTTGTAAAGAAAGGATTACCTCATCTTAGGTGGTCAAAGTGCCTCAGAGTTCGAGTGGCAGTGCAAAGCCAGTGAGTAAGCCAGTGAACAAGACCCTTTATTAGTGAACTCCTCAGCGATGGCCACAGATGGCTGTATTTCGGCAATGGAGATCGAAAGTCTGACCACAATTGTTCAGCGAAAGGACGAAGACGACGCTATGTACGGATTTCCCGGGCGCTATGAGTCTGACCTATGTACGGACTTGTCCCACACCGAGCAGGTCGTAATATTTTGAATCGTTGAGTCGATCATGGTTGTGCACAAGTGATGCGCGTGTCGTCTGCATCTGCGCCTTGATCCTTGAAGGATGGTGGCGTTCCTACGGATGCGGAAAGCCCAGCTTCCAGCCGAGTCCCACGCGAACCGTGAAACTTTTTTATAACAAGGTTTATCTAATACTAGTTAGTAGTTATGAACTAGTATTGGGTTACCGGTATATAATAGTTACATACATGTAGCTGGGTCACGTGACTAAAGTCCTGGAATGTCTCGTGATCCGTTGATAAGTCGTAGAATGAAGGGGGAGGCGATAAGTTTATTGAAAAGAAAACGGACTAAGGAACTACAAGTTATGCTGTAATGTCCGCTACTAAACACCACCAATTACTAAACAATCAGCTCATGCGATAACATATTGCACGACACTGACCGACGATACTGACGTTCTACAACTAACTGGACAACAGCTCTAGCAGTCGGTCAGTGTCGTGCAATGTTATCGCATGAGCAGATAGTTCAGTAACTGGTGGTGTTAGTGGACATTATAGCGTAACTTGTAGTTCCTTGGTCCTTTTTCTTGTCTGTACATCTAAGGCTAAGGCCAGTAAGGGCAAGTCCTTCCACTCCGCCCAAATGTTGGCATGCAGCCTTCCGGACGTCAGAGTATTAATTTAGAATGCGGGCACATGCACCATAATAAAATTTAATAATGCATTGCGCACAGCTAGTATGTAATACTAAAAAAACAAAACATCAAGCAGACAGATGCTAACGACAGATGCGTGAAAGTGTTGGATCTACACGCCAGCGAAGTGCGACCTACTATACTGTCACTGTAGTCTGTACTTGTGTACCATCATGTACGGTAGATCTACTATGAAGTACAGCGCTGGCAACTGAAACCCGGATTTCAGTTGCCAGCACTGTATGATGTAGATACAGACAGTCTGCACGAAAAGGCGCGACGGTCCGCACCTTGAACGCCAAGCTAGCGCCAGAACTAGAAGTCCAAAGGGCGCTCTTTTACGGGGACACTTGCGACTGCCAAAGTGCCAGCCGATAGCATCGTCATTATTTTCAGCTTTGAGTAGATCTATGAGTGTCGGAGTCGTAATGCTCAGGGAAGATATAAAGCAGTGAGGCAGTTTCTGTAGCTTCTTCTCCCGATAGCGCACTTGAACATGGTTTTGAAGTGCTTCGCTGCTGTTTGCTTCGTCTTTGAACAGGGTTGCGTGGATAAAGAATAAAGGCAACTGTCGTGTCGAGCGGCTTCCGGAAACACGCTACAGCTACAGAGTGTGCTCATTAGTTCGCAGCAGGACTGCATGCAACCAGGGTGCCCTCTACTTTAGTTCAGCAGGCCCGGGAGAGGAGAGAATGTCCGGTTGTGCCGATAGTCCTGCTGCGAACGCTCCTGTCGATGTCTCCGGTACAGCGCACTTCCCAGGTAAGTAGTTGCACAGAGGCTTGTTGCGTGGTTTGCACGCGCCGGCTACGAAGCGGCCTTGAAGATGAGAATTGACATTCTTTTTGCAGTCGATATAGCAGCAGAATGTGGACGTGTGTCGCTTGCTGATATTTTTGGTGTGATTTGTGCATTGCATGCAGGTTTTAGACTTGGGCTTTGATTACTGGACCCTGGTCAGTACACCAGGAAAGGAGCATCGAGCGGAGGCGTTTCTCCGAAAGGCATTTCTAGCGTGTTTGAATGCCACACAAAAGCATTATGGTATGCCTGGCGGAAACTAGGGAAGAACTGAATCGAGGCCAAGAAACTACCGGTCATTGTTGCTCAAGTCTGTTCGTTTGACATCCGCTAGCTACTTACGATAAGTAGCTAGACGTAACCGCTAAGTTTGAAGGAAGTTTCAGTGACCGTGTCATTAGAATTATTTCCAGTTTTCCCATCGCTTGCTGGGTGCAGTTCGCCTGGCTGTTTGTCATGAACACCATTTTGCCGTCAGGTGCAGCTCCTCCGAGTTGGAGCAGCGCCCTTGTGAACTGGAGTAGCCATGCGACAGCACCGACTCCAACCGGGTTTCCCGGAGCTTCCACGGCCGTACAGCAGCGTCAGAGTGGTGGAGCAGGAGCAGCGCTTTGCTTCGCGCCGTTCATCGCAACCGAGGACACAAGACACCAGGTGAGTGACTTGTTCTTTGTAGCATTTTGCCACCACTCTGCAACGCGTCTAAAGCAGTCAGTGGAAGAGAGTTGTCGCTTCAGATGTTCAATTATGACTGTAATGCTACCAGTACGTACCTCACACACTCAGACGCAAGTATGGCTTTGTATTCTTTTTGGAAAGTACCTTATTTTCCGGAGAATAAGCCACACTGGATACCGAGAGGAGTGTTGAGTATAAACTGGTATAAGCTGCATCCAGATATTTTTGTCACGAAATACAGACGTCTACCCTGTATATCATGGTTCATTTGACCACCGTAGTATGAGCCACACGGACTATTTTTTTGTTGAATTACGAGTGTTGGCTTATTCGGTAGTTTGACAGAACCCCTCGGAGACATGCCAACAAAAATGACAGGGGAAGTAAAGCCTAAAATTAATATCAATTTTTCACCAGTTGTAGTCTCCGGGGTGCTGAGTCGAATGGTCGTGGTGCGAGCAAGCTGTGGCGCCCCCTTCCTCCTTTATTCCCAACCGAACTCGCGCACTTCCACCGAAACTGGGTGACTGCGCCCTACTAGATGGGGATTTGTACGCAAAATGTCACTAAAAGCGCCATTGCGTTCTTCTAAAAGCACGGATGACCGCAATTGGCCCATATGTTCTAGTCTTTTGGACGCTGAGTCGACTGGTTTTGGTCTGAGCAGGATTGCAGCGTCCGGCCCTTATTCCCAATGGAACATGGCCCTTATTCCCAATGGAACATGGCCCTTATTCCCAATGGAATATGGTTGAATATACGGCCACGTGATCATGCCTACACCAGTCACCTGATCACCATGCCTGCAGGCTTCAACTTTCACACCAGGGTTCAACTTGAGTGACAGGAATGCGCCCAAACAGGGTGATCATCAGATTCCACTGACTGGGGGCCCCACATTCAATTGGGAGTAAGAGATGAGTGAAGTGTGTGCAGTCAACACTGGGTGAAATGCCTGGAAATACTTTGAACTTTATTCTTAGTTTTATCTGTGTGCTTCTGAAGACATGGTTGTTACTCCCACACTTTTAATTGACCAGTTTCCCTGCCCTGTTTTTTTCGTAGGTGTCATTCCTGCCAGGTTGTGGTCTTTCGTGTCATGACTCTGTTTGGTATGAGGAGGATGAGTATGACAGGCTTAGTCGCACCATCATAGCACTTGCCACCATCTCACTGCTGCTAACTGCTTTTACACTGGTAAGTGAGTTTGTATTGTGTCTGTGTGTGGATGTGTGTGTGTGTTTGGGGGGGGGGGGGGGCAGTGTGGTAGTGTAGTGTGGTATATACTTTCATCAAATCAGCATGCTGTCTACACTGGTTACCTCAAGCGTGTGCGTGTGTGTCCCGTATGGTGAAGTGGTGTGTGCAGTCGATTTCCAATCGAGAGGTTGCGGGTTCAATTCCCGACGATTATGGTCGCACACGTCTTTCTTGTCTTTTTCATCCTCCTAGCTCTTCTTTCTTTCTCCTGGGTGGTTACCAACAGCCAGTGTATGCCGGAGTATGTGGTGTGGTGTGTGTGTCGAAAAAAAATTAAAAAATGGAAAAAATGATCAATGAATATGGATTCACTGGCTGGAAAAAGCCACTTCAATCAGCTGTATGGTGGGTACCAGGCTAAAATTAGTGGCGGTCAATTCATCAGCCTTGCAAGCTGTTGAATGGTGTAATCCTAGCACAAGTTGCTATGTCTAACATAGCTGTTCACTATCATCGCTTCCGCGATGGGCATGTCTGAGTGTCTGAGTGTGTGTGTGTGTGTGTGTGTGTGTGTGTGTGTGTACGTGTGCGTACGTGTGTGGTGTTGGTGCGTGCTTATGAGGATGGCAATATATCAAATACACTGTTTCCTGCGCTGCGTGTGTTTGGTACTGCATTATTAATCTGGCAGATCAGCTCTCTTGTGGATCCACGTTCCAGACAGTTTCCAGCTGTACTGCTGCTGAACATCAACATCTGTCTGTGTGCCTCATCCATTGGCTGGATCTGGACGTACAGTGAGGGTGATGACATTATCTGTTACGAAGACGGCACTCTCAGATTTGATGCTCCAAGGTAGGTTGGGAATTAGCACCTGCATACCAGCTTGTTACCTGTTTACTGACAGTAGCAAATTGCTGGTATGTAGGTATCCCCACCATTATCCGTATTGAGCTTGAACTTGCAATGCATCCAATTTTTTTACAAAACATACAACTCCCCGGAAGGCACATGAAGCGAGCTAGCATGGGGTGAGATGGTGCTGGTAGCGGTTGTCATGCTCAACCGACTAGAGGTCTTGGTGGCGGTTGTCATGCTCAACCGACTAGAGGTCTTGGTGGCGGTTGTCATGCTCAACCGACTAGAGGTCTTGGTGGCGGTTGTCATGCTCAACCGACTAGAGGTCTTGGCATCTTCACATGATACTGTACGCATGGGGTCCTGTAGCCAACCTGTAGCCAACCTGTAGCCAACCTGTAGCCGCAACCTGTAGCCGCAACCTGTAGCCATGGAGCGCGTACCGACAACCCTGAAGAGCTGGCTCCGTGGCCTGTGGATACTCCAGCCTTGCAGCACACAGTCGATTGGGAGCGTGTGGCAAGGTGCTGGTAAAGTTGTATGGCGCTAGCTTCTACTTTTTACTTCACCATTTGAACAGGAGCACAGTAGTCCCATGGAGCTTTGGGCAATTTACCACCAGTCGCCCCTTCCCCCATCATTTGGTACTGTATAGTGTATCTGCTAAATTGCTCCGGGTGGTAGCATCCTCGGGGAGTGGAGACTGAAATTGGACTTCTCTTTGTGAAAAAAATTCTGCAGTGAAGTTGGTGACTTCAAGTGTGTGCTCAGCTTCATGTTCATCTTCTACTTCACGATGGCAGCTCATGTCTGGTAAGAGCCACATGCTGGGAATGGGATAGCATTGTAATATAAATACTTTTAGGGCAGTGCAGAGTTCAAACTCAACGGGGTCCTGCCCCCGGGAAATGTTAGGGAAATTGTGCCCAGACAGCCCATGCATATTTGATTGCTTCAAAAGTCACAAGATGAAATTATCGGTGCGGCTTTGGCCGGACCTGCCGACGCCCCTGACATGTGTAGTGGTGCGTCTTTGTGTTTGTGGACGTGAAGGTAAATTAATTTTTATAAAAAATGCCATTATTTCACCAACTGAAGAGGCAGCAATACCTTGTCACGTTCCAAGGTCCGATTCTCAAAGTATGCTGAGAGCACTTCACTCGATAACCCCCTGCACGTAAAAATCAGGAAAGTTAGCCAGCTACCCCGTGTAAAGCACGAATACTGTCAACTTGGCCTTGTGACTCGGTCTTCACCAGCACCAGTATCCACTGGCTTCTACATGATTTGAAACCCACTGCTCTCCATTCTCATCGTTGTGCTCCGTGTGATAGGTTTGTGCTGTTGGCCATCTCCTGGAACTTTGCCTTCCTGCACCTGGGCAAGCCCAAGATGCCATCAGCATCGGACACGCGCAAGCTGCTGCTGGCTCACCACATCATAGCGTGGACATTACCCGCCCTGCTCACTGGTGCTGCTCTCGGCACAATGCAAGTGAGTTGGCGTGCATTCACATGAACATCTCAGACTCAGAGAACGCATGCCACAGTCTCAGTTCTCTTTGACTACCACCAAGAGTCCATAATCCCAAGAGTGTGCAGCTCTGTACATGGAGATTCGCGCGGTGGAATTCCAAAATACGTCAACAATGACGTACGCATTCGTTGCGCTTGTACTACTCCCTGGCTCCAAGCACCGCAGACTGCGAAGTTTTTGGCCTCTGTGCCTCAGCGGAACGACATAATGTTGGAATTCCGCCGCGCAGTGGGCCTACAGCAGCCAGACCCCAGTTGCACACTCTTGGGGTTAAGGACTCTTGCTACCATGAAGGACCATGTATAGGCCTTGGACGTATAGAAGAACAGCCTAGATTTGCTGGACGTATACAAAGCTTTTATTTGGAACCGGCATCAATTGCAACATGTAATTGAAACCCTCCCTTCCTAAAAAAAAACGGTGTCCAATGTCATTTCCCAGCCTCAGTGAGCCAGGTATCGTTCTGTACTTTGAAACATTGTGCCCGTGCCTGGGCGCCTGGGCGCATGCATACGCCCAGGCCCAAGCATGGGCATGGGTGCAATCTTTAAAAAGAAGTGTTGACTTCTCCTGCATGGGAGTGCACATGGAGGCTAGGTGTATTTGCGAGTGGGCGTATACCACCGGCTTTACCTTTTAGGGTATGTCATGCTGTCCAATCTCATCACCATAATAGGAAATATACAGCCTTGTGTTTCCTATATTTTTGCTTACTGTGCCACAGCTGGAGGCCCAAAAACAATGTACGGTTTGATTAGGCAAGATTAGAGAGGTTCCGCATAACGTAATTACGTTAGTAAAAAAATGTAGTCTACGAAAAATCTTTATGTACACTACATGCGGATCTGTGTTCCGCCATACGGAGCAATTTGGAGCGCGGCAGTGTACAACCGGGTCGAGTTGGATGGGAGAGAGTCATAAATATGTACCCAAAATCACTTACGGAGCACCTACGTTATCAGAGCCCAGCCTACGTACTCTACGTAGACAACCTTCCGTAGGTGGAGTGCAAACTCGCGAATTCACGGGTTTCTCCCAACTACTTAGTCACTTTACTTTACGTAGTGTGGAACCTCTCTAATAGCCTGAGAAATAGCATGGTTGATAAATGCTCGGATCATCTGGTAGATCAGCGAGAAAGCAACCTGCTGGACTCTGAACAGCCGAATTGTTTGGGTGCTGGTACAGCACCTCTGACACCAGAAGATAGTCTTCGGGACAGTGAAGGAAATGAGTCACATTTTGACTTTATTATTTTCTTTCGTGAATGCTGTGTTCATCCAGAGCGCACTGAGTATTTTATTTATAGTATTTCAAGTATCAATGCAACCAAGCCTTCTTCTGTGTCTGTAACCAGTTGTAATGTGGTACAAGCGGGCACCAAAAGTTACTGATGTGCCCGATCAGCACTCCCACCTACGTACATCATGTATGTGTTATCCACCGAGTACTGGGGCAATGCTGGCAGATGTCGGTTATCGATGCTGGTAGTGCCGCAGCATGGTGGTCAATAACACATCTATTTATTATATTTAGGGCTGAAACGATTATACCGAATAATCGAGTACTCGTTTGATAACTCTAACGATCGAGCAATCGTTCAGATTACCGATTACGATTATTTTGCGTTTTTTAATTTTTTGTCAAGAAATTACTGTAAACCCTCGTTTTGTGAAGTTTGAATCAGTTTCCGCTGGGCGTATGCAGTTGCCAGGGGTATGGTTCATGTTCAGAGGTTAAATTGACTTCAAAACTGCCATGTTTCGGAGCTACCCTTTCACTAATTCAGATTTGTTGGTATTATGAAGGCATAGTTTGTGGAAACAGTAATGTTTGGACAGAATTATGACTCTATTTGCTAACGATTATAATTGATTACTCGATCGTTCAGCTAAAGAGTAATCGATACTTGAAAATCCACGATCGTTTCAGCCCTAATTATATTTGTTCCTGTAGCTATGCAGAAGACGTTACTTCAGTAACGTCTGGCGCTAGCCAAGGTCCACACAGCTTTAATTTGGTGTTTGTTTGTTTGTGGCGGACGGACTTCCGTCTGGCGCTATCCCGTATCTGTCCCGTACCGTACCGTACCATCAAAGACAGCTGGTCACAAACAGCTGGCCACAGTATTCAAATAGGGCTTTCAAATGCAAGATCATAACGTGAAGCAACTGGAAGAATTAGTATGAATGCGAAGTGTATCGGGTAATGCATGTAGGGCGATTGTGTGGGTTCGAATCCCAGGTTATGCATTGAAAAAAATAGGAGAATTGAAAAATGTATAACATCCCTAGGCTATGCTTTTTTGCCTAGGCCATCAAGGTGGTAGACGGTGTCGCATTACCCTCGACCGTACCTGTCCCGTACCGTACCATCAAAGACGGCTGGCCACGAACAGCTGGCCACAATATTCAAATAGGGCTTTCAAATGCAAGATCATAACGTGAAGCAACTTGGAAGAATTAGTATGTATGCGAAGTGTATCGGGGGATGCATGCAGGGCGATTGTGCGGGTTCGAATCCCAGGTTAATGCTTTTTTTGCCTGGGTCATCAAGGCAAAAAAGCATAGCGTAGGGCCCTGAGCTTCCAAGCTCTCTCGTTACATGCTTTCAATTTGACCTCTTTTTCTTCCAAAGTTCTTTTCCAAGGGGGGCATTTGAAAAAGCACTGGGAAGGTCATGAGATCGGTGTCAGTGTGGTGTATCGTGTAATAAGAGCCTGCTTGAACGGGCCGCGTTATGGAGAAATGTTGCAGGCTGAGAAGGGTGCCTGATTGGCGGTAACCCTAGCAACGGTCACCAGACATGTTGTACCTGACCACGATATCACTCGTATCAGGAAGAGTGGATGTGCTGCTAGGCGAGGCGTTCTTGAACCGAAACACGGCTGAACTACCAATGGCTAATGCATCGCTTTGACCGTGGTTCACAAGCCACGACACGGCCAAGCAAGTGACTTTCCTTTGATGCCTCTACATGGTGTTCATGAAGCTCACTGGTGTTGAACACCGCCTTGTCAACTAGCATCAGAATTGCAAAATGACCCAACTAGAGGACCTGCAGAAAAAAACCCAGTCCGGATATGCTCGCTCAGTATTCTGCCCAACAGTATTGAAGATGTAAAGCCAGAGAGTAAGGAATAGAACCGGAACTAAGGAACTATGAAACACATTGCACGTCCTGAATGCGTAAAGGAAGGCGCTTGCATGATGCGTTCTCACAACCTGCAAGATGGTTCGACTGGGAGGATCTTGTTCTTGTACTCGCACACCTTTCCTAGTATACCGAGCTGTGCTTTCCCACCAAACAGTGCCATGCATATGCCAGTTTTGCACCATGTTGACTGCTGTATCTGCTGCCGACTACGTAGTGCGCTAGTCTTCACCACTGTCGGCAATATCAGAGTAGTTGTCAAGACCTCCTCTGACTTAGGGATTCTTTGGCGGTAGTCTTACGATGGATGCATTTCTTGAAAAATCCCAATATTACCGTTGCCAAGTGTTGCGTAGCCAGAGTGTAGCGTTAGCCAGAGTGTTGTGTTGCACACATATAACGTAGCGAGAGTGTCACTCAGCGGAATCTTCCATACGTACGGTAACTGTGATATACATGTAAACGATTGTGATGTTACTGAATAGTAGAACTGAATGATAGAACTGAGCATGGCAAAACTGTGTGTGGCACAATGGATAATCAAAGTAGACAAGACGGCATGTATATGTACGGTGTGTGCTTTACATGTATGATGTGTGTTTGCTGTTCACCACTATGTAGCTGGATGGTCTGTGGCTGGGTCGCATATGTCACCTGAGTCTGATCCGTGAGAATAACTACGCTCGCATCATGCTCCTTCTCATACCTGAAGGCGTCACTATCCTACTCGGAGCTATCTTCTTAACCAGAGGTACGACCATGTGATGAATAACTGTATGACATCGTGGCAAGAAGTAATCTTCTCACTGATCACCATTGCAAAAGAGTTGAAAAATTGCAAAATGCATCCACTTTACATACTTTCAGGCTGTCACTTGTACAGTACTGTCGCTCGCCGAAGAACGGTGCGCCGAAGAATGAACAGGCTAGAATTATATTATTTTAACAAGCACGGCATACCAATGTATACACGGTGACTCAACTGTGCATAGACTGTAATACATGAAAATGGGAAACGGTTTAGGCTAGGATGAGTCTGGAATACAGAGCAACGGGGAGGTTCTAGGTGTTTGAGAAATCCGCTTCAAGGGTCGTTTTAACACATTTAATGGAAGCTTGTTCGGACTGATACGCTTCTGATCTTAGTCTTGTGCATTTTCTCATCACACGATTACTTTTTCGATGCACGTTAGTCGTAGTTGGCAGCAGACGTTCTTTTCGGGCAATGTTTCCTGCAGGTGTTATGTACTTGGAAAGTCTTCGGCGTCAACAAACCAACGGCAGCTTCTTGAGCGGCCAGTCGAATAAGCTGATCAAGGAAACCATCGTAAAGATAGGTACTCGCTGGTGCATTTCAGTGTGTTGTTTGTACTGTGCGTGCATGGCTCCATAGTATCAGTGTGATTTGCAGCACTGGTAATGGAGACATCTGATAATGCACGATGACTACAACAGCAGTATAACGGTACATGTATGGTTCTTATTAGAGAAATCCCACCCCACGGATAAACCGCCCCACGGATAAAGTAGCGCCGAGCTCAAGTGCGCAGAGCAGTGTGCGTGATGCTAGGGCCGAATAGTCCCCGGTTCTATAATATTCATGAGGTCGTATTTCTTTGGCCAAGACTGTAGATGTAAACTGTGAATGAGTACGTCATTAGGAGATGGTTCTTTTCATTGCAATGCTACTCTCTCATCTCACACAAATTGTGTATGCAAATGCACAAAGGCATTCTAACTTATGTTTATTCACTGAGTGGCGAGCACTGAAAAGTACCATTGGTCTCCTCACGTCTCCCAACTCCCGCCTCCTGTCGAACCATAATGTTACCTGCGGAGCGACTTCAGCGCATATCAAGATACGCTGTTGAGCTGCATACTTGCACTGCAGTGCACAATGCACACAATGCACAGTACGTACCAGTGAAAGTATGTATGTGCGTGTGGAACTGTGCACAATCCAGTGAATGATGTCTGGTCTTTTGCCTTGTTGTACATCGCGCACTGCTTTTGACCGACTGAATTTGATTCCTGTCCCCAGCCAAAAGCAACCTGGAAGCGGCACAGCGTGTATGTGTGTTATGTGTGTAGGGGAGGATCAAAAGTAGTTAACCGTAATATTAAATCCTCCAGTTTGATGTCGGTGCAATTATTCACTGTCACCATTACTAGCCCATAGGCTGACTACCGTAACGACATCATAAACCATCGCGACGTATCGGCCTCAACTCTGATTTCAGTACAATACTTGTAGCCAGTATGTCTGCCCTGCCCTGCCCTGCTCAGTCTGTCTGTCTTAAATATCTCCCTCCTAGTCTAGTGCATGCAGCTGTCTGTGTGTGTATATCGGGATGTGTCACGTACTGACCTGTGGTGTGTTTCCCCTCCTCTTGCCCCCGTCATTTCCCTCCAGGTTTGTTCAGCTTCCTTCTTCTCTTGTTCCATCTTCTGAACATTGCCGTCCACGTCACCGAGAGTGTCAGCAAGGACTCGTGGATAGAGAGCTTTCATCTGTTTGTCAGGTATGTTGATGCAACAAATGTGGCTTTTGCCAAAGTCCGGCTCCAGAGGTTGACAGGTCCTTGGCATGCGATTAGTGGTAAGACAGAGGAAGAGATAGAGAGAGGGGGGGGGGGGGAGGGAGGGAGAGGCAGGGCCATGGCGAAAGTCCTGTTGTGTCAAGTGTAGACTCGATGCGTGTAGGGGCCCGACAGGTCAGACAGACCTTGGCGGGAGGTATCCAGTTCTTGGAAGGGGGCAGGAAGTGGAGATTTGAGGACCTTGCACTCACCCCATTCAATACCATGCGTCTTCTCTGTGTGTGTAGCCACTATATTATATTCTTCCTGTATTGTTTGTTCTGTCCAGTTGCCGTGGAGCAGAAATAGCACGTGCAGCGATATCCGGTGATGCCAACCTGCCTGCACTGGTGTCGGGGGATGAAACATCTTGTACAGTAGAGCATAAACCTCACCTTGGTGTCATCTTCATCGGATTCATTGCTCAAGTTGCCATTGGCATTGCCATGGGAACATGGGGAGTCAATCGTCACTCGCTGTCCAAGTGGAAGCAATTGTTCATGAGGTATGTACTCGCATACTCATTGGTTGATAGGAGCTTTGGTCACCGTTCTTCAGCTGTGTGAGGGGCTTATCTGTGCGTGTGTATGTATGTATGTATGTATGTATGTATGTATGTGTGTGTGTGTGTGTGTGTGTGTACGTGTGCGTGCATGCATGTGTGTGGCTGTGCGCGTGTATAGTGTTGGTGGAATGTGCAAAGAGACTAGTAGATTTGGGGTTTTCCTCGCTTTGTCATCCACCCTTCTCACTGACCATGTGCAAATGATACCCATGCTATTAGTCCATGGTGCTGTGTATTGTCCACAGAGCCCCCTCAAATATCCACTAGGTGATGTATTCTAAAAGTTCTGTGCTTGAAGATAATAATATTATGTATTCCGTAGTACCAATTTAACATTTCTTTGAGGTATTCTCAAAACATGGTTCAGTGTTTCCCCATCAATAGGAATTGACAGAACCTTAACTACTGGTCAGAGTGATATGCCCGTCATATAATAATTATAGGGATTGATGCTGTAAATGACGGCATGGTGCATCTGCTGTGTGATGTGTGCTGTGTGTACTGTGTGCTGTGTGTAATGTGTGTAATGTGTGTAATGTGTGCAATGTGTGTGTAGAGTGTACAAGATGATGACCACCTATCATGGCAATCTCGACCTAGAAAAGGAGCGTGTGGCGGCAGACCGGGCCAGTGATGCGGGAGATCGGCGTATGTCCAATCGAAGCAACCCAAGGTTAGACTCATTCAGCGAGTATTGGTCAGTGAATTCCGACCCGTGACTTTAAATCATGACTCCCTCGAGAGCTGCACCATGAGTTACATGTACAGAACTGTTCAATGCAATCCAGTCGAGTCACTCAAGTATACGCCGGGCGTTACGCAGCCATAGACCTGCCAATACAACGCTGGGCTTCGAAATTGTGGAAGGCGCAAATTTGAGTGACATGACTGGATTTCATTGAGCTGGACTGTCTTGGTGAATGTGTTAGCTGAGGTGGATATCCCAGCTACAGGGTAACAGCGTCCTCACTCACCCCGGGCTGCTCCACTCTGGGTAGCAAGCGTGTTGCTGTGATCAGTGTCTACTCTGTCAAGCACATGAGTACATAGTTTGTATCTGGTACTCAGTTGCCATTAAATTTATGCTGTTGGATCATCCGTGGCATTTCTCTGGATCAAGTTAGAAGGAAGTACAATCGAATATCGGTATGCATTGAATTGTACTGGCTGATGCTGCCGGCACCAACAGTGTACTATCTCCAGAGATTTCCGTTTTATCCATTCGTTTGTAGTAATACAATGGTCAGGTCATCCAGCACGAGCTTCGACAAAAAGCAAAGTTTTGACAACAGCAAAACACCCCATGCACACATACTGCACTACAACACTGATAAGAATACACCAGATTTGTGAACCGAGCACTCAAACTAATCCAGTTGAACTTCTGTACCGTAATTGGAGCCAGAAAGGGATTTTTGAAGTGTGAGTGCAAACTTGATGCATGCATTCCTGACTAGGCTGTGAGAATGTTGAAACGCAAAGCTCGGGGTAAACTGCCAGGTTGCTTCCCCACGGGTTACGACATGGCAAATGTGCTGCCTGTGCGCAATGGCATCACTGATCATCTCAACTCGACTGTCCTCCGCTTTGTTTGTTTCAGGCCATCGCCAGACGAGCAGCCCGAAGAGGACGAACTTCACGAACTGGAGATGTACGCCAACCCCCTGGTTACCATGGGCGCAGTGGTGCACGTAGCCCCGCCCTCGCCCGTGTCTCCCGTCAACCTGCACGCCAATCCCATCAGTTTCCACGGCAACCGGGTCAGCGTCACGCGCACGGCCACGCTGAAGAAGCGAGACGCGTCGTCAACGACGGCCACCGCCGCATATGTGGGCGACTGTGAGCCTGGTCTGGCCACCACCACTGTCGGTCTAGAGCCAGTGGCTGGTCAATACGGCACATGGCCTACGTCGCCTAGCAAGAAGACAATGTACGGCGCCAATGCAACTGCCGCCACCGCCACATCGGCCAGCTGGAAACCGACACCGCCTAAGCGTAGCAAGTCTAAACAGACCTCCGGCAATAACACCACTGTACAGCTGCTCTCACATACTAGAGCTGAGGATTACGCCGATATCTCCACGGCAACGGGAAACCAGGAACTGAACCAGATTATTCCGAGAGAGCAGATGAGCTTGCCGCGTTCCATTGTCGGTACCGGTCGTTACGTGCTACAGGCGGCTAATTTCGGCAGCGGGGAAATGACCACTGCCGAGAGTGCACTTTACCACGGTCGACCATTGTCCGAGAAGGACAAGAAGCGTGCCGTCGTCGTCATAGAGATGTCGGACGATGGCCACACGGACGCGTGATGCCTTGTTGCTGTCATGTCATGATGTTGATGAGTGGAGTGCAATGTTTGTTTGCTTGTTTACACTGGGCAAATAATTTATCGCCCGATGATTGTGACCACGTGAAACTCGGAGTTGCAACTCCGCTTCCCCTCTCTCTTGTGAATTGAATTGCATTATGTTGAGCAATATTTCTTACTCCCTCTGTGCATAGCATTCCGGTTTTGCAAGCTGCATTTTTAGCATTGAGAACACACAACACGCAGAACATTTCTCCAAATATTTTGTACAGACCACACAGCAAAAGCCAGTCAGTAAATGTGAATCATCTCATTATTTTTACATTGCAGATTTACTTGTGATATCAGTATACAGATAATTTGCAAAGTATCTATCAGCAAAAGCATAATTTTTTAGGAATTGCGAATGAAAAATCTATTTGAATTGTATATAAATTGTAAGAACCTCTCTCAAATGGATCAAATAAGCATAATTAAATAAAGCAAGTGAGAATAATGTTTTGTACTCCTCCCCCCCCCCCCCCTCAAAAAAGCAACGAAGTGGTGAATTATTGCAGCATCCACTCACTCTCTGCCCCCCCCCCCTCAGAGAATATTGGGAGGGGCAGGGCATGAGAGGGTTGGGCTCACTATGGATTTCAAAGGAAGGCGGAGCCGGGGTGGGGCAGTGGGGTTGTCAATCAAGTGTTGCTATGGTCGCTTTAAGACCAGGGTGGCGTGTGTAATTATTGCAAGCAGCAAGCAAGTTGCATATCACCGGCACTAATGCCAGTGTGGCAACCTCAAATAGATATAAAACATGAAAGTACAAATGACCTACTACCAGTGAGTGTCATGCTGGTGTTCTGGTCTAGATGCTTGGCCGATGTGCTGGGCCACTGGTCTCGCTCCAGTAGGGCTTGATCAGCCATGGTGCTGTCGCGTTAGCTTGGCCGCTGCTGTCTCTGCTGCTTCTTGGCATTGATGCGTTTGCTGAGTGTGCTGCCGCTGCGCAGTGCGCTGCTCCGTGCGTCTGTATTGCGTCTGGCGGCTGGCGGTGTGCCGCGCACAATGGCCTCCGCCTGCGCCTGGCCTGGCGTACCCTCTATACCGGTCTTGCTCACCTAACAATGTGTGCATTGCGACAACCGCGGTGGAAGACAGAAGAGAGAGAGAGAGAGAGAGAGAGAGAGAGAGAGAGAGAGAGAGAGAGATAGAGATGGCATGATGAGATAGCACACAGAGAGAGGCAGGCATGTGGAGGTAGCCGATAGCCAATCAAGCAGATAAGAGGCAACGGGGAAAGTCAAGCAGAATTAGGCACACAGAGACAAGAAAAAATTGGAATCGATCAATATCTTCAGAGAATGTCATACTTTCTCCCTATACTGCCCCCCCCCCCCCTCCCATCCCTTTCCAGATAATGCTCGGCTGTAAAAGGGATAAGATCCTGTCAGCATCACCCACCAAAAGTTTTCTGCCACAGCTTTATGCTAGTTACAAGATGTCTTTGGTGCGTTTGTAGAACCACTACTTATGTAGGCGTGGGTTCGAATCCCACTTCTGACACCATGTAGTGGTTCTACAAACGCACCAAAGACATCTTGTAACTAGCTTCGTTTACAACAAATCACAAGTGTGTGGGAATACAGAGAACGACAGAGAGATCAAAGGAAAAGCCAGGCAGGCAGGTACAGCTAAAGTGCGTACGGTACAACTGGCATGCCGTACAGCGCGGCCGGATGAATGCACACATATCACATAAAAGGATACAATGACAAACAGTGGGATGTGCATCCACTACACTTTATACCATTGAGAATGCACAGAACCATCAAGAAACGCGTTCTACTTGCTAGTGCAGGCTGTCGTAATAAAACGACTCATCCGTGTTCCATTCCCGTGCATGGTACATGCATGGTGCGGCGGCACAATGACAGCTGTCGCAAATCACACTGAGTATTACACGTGTTTTTTGGTGATTCCTGGTTAGCTGCTAGCTTTTCCCTACTCGAAGATGTTGCCGCCGCGAAATCTGGGGGTTTGTGTTCGTCCTGGCGAAAACCGTGTTTTGATCCGTTGAGGGAGACGAGAGATACAGTGCGAAGACGTACGATCTGTCCGAGAATCGGCGAAGAAGAAAGCTTCGCAGACAACCCGTAGTGGTTGGGAACAGAATGGAACATATACCAGTCGATGCCTGTCATGGTAGGGATGACTGCTACGAAGTTTTAGCCCCATGCTCCCCAGCGCTTTTTAGCGCCCGACGATAATTACCAAATTTCATCGATTTTCCATGTGGATCACTGCATAGTCTCCTCAATCTTCTCCAGTCGAGCTGAGTCTGGACGCTACAATGTCGAGACGCGAAAAGAGAACATGCATGAACACACAGGAGCATCACATGCAGCTGCATTCTGCCTTGACGAAGCTGAGAACAACACCAGCACCACGCATTATTTTGGAAGACATTTCGAAGAAGACGAAGAACTACATATCTGCGTTCAAAAAAGCCTCTGTACTGTGCAGTATGCATGCGTGCATCATCACTGCATGCGCGAAGCACGGGGTCCGCGGATCAACTTCGTTCAAAAATCATTGTGCCACACGGGTTGTATGATTTGTGTGCGATCATGGTCTTTCTTCTTGACAAACAAAAGTGAAGTTTTTCGATCTTCAAATCGCCATAGCGTCCTTGTCATGACTCCAAATCAGCTGAAACTTTGCAGGAGGAATGAAAATGCCATGCTGAATCGATTGGTATCATTTTCGAAGGGTTTCCTTGAAAAATAAAAATTAGCCTGCACTGGCTAGTTCTACGCTTTATCTCCTTCATAAGCATATGATGTACCAGTATATTAGAGTACGCATGTGCCAGCAGGGGCGTCGGACACAGTACGATTACACTGATCTGGGCTCTAAATTTCCAAAATATTCGGCTCAGCCACTACTCCCACACGAGTAAATTGTACTTCAGATGGCTGACCGTAGCCAAGAATACCTCCCGACGCCCCTGGACAGTCTTCAGGCATGGCCCAGTAAAACCATGGAATTTTGGTACAAATCTGAATAGAAGCACTATGGTCATGCCAGACCTGTAGTACCCACAACCGGCTATTAAAAGGGAACAACAGTACAGTGGAGTAAAAATAGAAGAAATCACATGGAAACGAGTTATGAAGCAACTATCCACGACTGTAACAAGATAATAAGCAGTCAGAAAGTGCGATAACAGGGCACAAAACTGACTCGTTTCCGTGTGATTTCTTCTATCTTCTATTATATTTGTTGGCTCAGTGGAACTGCTGCATTTAGTACATGTACTCCGCTAAGATGTACACTTACTTAGCACGGACATTGCATGGCGTGTGGGTGTATGGTATTGCGCAATGGGTGTATGGTATTGCGCAATGATGAAGACTATGATTGGATAAGAAAAGTCTCAGATACTAAGTATGTACACTTTTCCTAATCTCCATGTGGGGGGTGGGTGGGGGTGGGGGACGTCTTGTACGCGTTTGACTGTACCAAAAGCAACTGCTCGGAGTTTGATCGTACCAAAAAGCAAGTGCTCAAAGAGCGGCATTTGCTTACTTCCAAGCTGGCCAGCATGTGCTCAAAGCTGATGATCTTGCTCTTGCACTTGTTCTCGCGTTTGACCAGCATGGCGTAGTCATCTGCGTTGAGGCTGTGATCGGCCAGGCGCCAGGTGATCATCTTTAGTTGCATTTGCTCCTCCTAGTCACAGAGATAGGGAGAGAGAGAGAGAGAGAGAGAGAATTCATGAAGCAGACATGGCAGGCAATGCGATCAGACAAAGGCAATGAACCGGTGGTGTTACCATTGGTGTTCCATTTCGTGGCTACTTGGACGGAGTTTGCAACAAGAATTGAAACGTAACCAGTAGTGGAGGGAAAGAGCATGTCTGATCACCATTCCTTCTCGAGTTATGAAGTTGCAGGATGCATCACCCCTATTACGTTAGTAGTGTACTAGTGGTTGTTTCTAGCGATAATAGAGGCACTGTGTTGCTGGTGTTGGTAGTATGGAATGCCAGCCACACCGTCTATGCAGTAACGGGGAGTTGGGTAGTCCTGTTGAATCAACAGGCTAAACGCTGTGGCTTATGCGTGTCCATATCAGCTGGCAGTCAATAGAAAATAGCCATGATTTCACTGTAGACTACTGGCAACTACCCGATATTCACCTCACAACATTTTTCGAGATCTCTCAGAACCGGCGAATTTTACGATGGCAAATGGGAGCACTGCTGCCACACACATAAACTCACCGGCGAAGTTTGATTTCACGATGGTTTTATTTATATTAAAATATATGCGTTACGCCCTTCTCACGGAATTAGTAAACATAATAAAATTAACGTACGGCAGTCTACAGTAAGCACTAAGTCCGTCACGGCAGTAATGACGGGCGCCAAAGAACGGAACGCCAAAGAACGGAGCGCCGAAGAACGGAGCGCCGAAGAACGACCAAGCACAGCATACCAATGTATACACGCTGACTCAACTGTGCATACACTGTATATTATATTAAGATAAGAACGGTCTAGGCTAGGAGGCTAACCCCCCCCCCCCCCTCCCCTCCCCCAGTTCTTCGACGACCAAACAGTACTATACTCACCTTGAGAAGAAGTTTGTAGCGATGTATATCCGTGTCAAGTGACTTGTCCAGGTCACGTTTGGAGTAGTTGCGGTCCGGTATTGGTGGTGGTGGCGCCACTGGATCCTCTCCATCAGCCACAGCAAGGTACACCGGTGTAGAAAACTGGTCAAACCCGTCCTCCGGCGTGCAATAGACATCGCCGTCCATTGCGAAGTCCTCTTCCGGTATGGACAGCGAGCTGGGCTGCGGTCGCAGACTGTTCTGCTGACTGCGGAGCATCTCCACCGGTACGCTGATGTTGGTGTCGTCTTCAAACAGATCTGTAGTGCTGTCCTCGGCAAAGAAGTCGTCGTCGAACAGTGCACCTTCACCGAAGCGCACTGGAACACTTGACGACACTCTACACTGGAACTCCTGCTGGCGTTTTCGATAGTCGAGTGTTTCACCTGGCAGTGGGGGTGGCTGTTTGCTGGTGGACGCTGGGAGGAGCTCATCTCGCGGCACAAGATATTCGTCTTCTTCGTCCATCGGTATCTTGGTTTTGCTTCGGATGCGCTGTGGTGGACGATGGATGGGCGACAGTAGCTCCCCGCTTGTCTTGCTTCTCGGCCGCGTGTCCACATCCGGGGATAGCATGCTGCCACGACTGTGTGATGCATGCATGTTGTTGATGATGTGCTTATCCGGTACCGGTGGTGGACTCGAGCGGGGTGATCTCTGGCTGCTATGTGCTGGAGGTCCCGGTGGTGTCAGTGCTGGTCGACTGGACTTTGGAACTGGTGGTGCTGGAGTACCTGGAGTGTGAACGTGCCGGCTGATGATGTCCTCCACGGGTGGTGGAGGTGACGGGCCGCGGTGCATTTCCGACGACATCGGTCGAAGGTGTGACGGGCTGATACCGGCAGAATCAAAACTCTGCGACACCATGTCCGCCCTGAGGTGCGCTGGCCGAGACGAACGAGGGACTTGCGGTGCCGCTCCTGCTCCCGTTTCATATTGCCTAGACCCTGCAGAGGTTTGACTGTGCCTGCGTGAGCTACCAAACTTCTGCCGTCGTCCGCGAGCACTTTGCTTGCTTGCTGTTGATGCTGGTGACGGTAATCTTGGATTGGCTTTTTGTGCACGAGCATTCACATTGCTGATCGGCTCATCGATGTCTTCATAGCGCTCTGCATCACCGAAATCATCATCATCATCGCTGTCACTGTCCTGCAGGATAAGCTTGGGCTTTGCCAGGACAGTCAAATCATCCGCATGTGGAGTGATTAATTCCGGAGGAGGTGCTGGAAAGTCGCCGAGTAGTTCATCTGAAATCTCGGAATAGCCATCTTCCTCCTCCTCCTCCTCGGCGTTCAAGTTTGGACGTGATGATTTGGGAACCGGTGGTGGCGGAGCAGGCTCTTCAAACGACTGCAACGATGAACTTGCGCTGGATGAACTGTGCCTCCACAATTCACCGGCAGAGCGTTGCTTTCGAAGATTGGGATCGTCAACCGTCAAGCTCGACTGGTGGCCGATTTCGGAGCCACTTCTCGAGCGCTGAGAAGCCGTCGCCTTTGTCGTAAAGGGAGCCATGGCAACCGTCTCCTGGGAACCATGCATGTGTCCTGATGATCTTTTCATGCCATGGTCCTGTACGCCAGAGTGGTAGTACTGCTGCTGCTGCCGCTCTGTGCTTGCTGACTGGGATGATTGGTCGAGGGACAATGGCCTAGGCTGCACCAACCCATGCTCCTGCACCTGGTAATGTTCCGACTGCCGCTGCTGCCGCTGTTGCTGCTGCTGGTGGTGGTTGTGTTGTGGATGATGCTGAGGATAGTGACTGCTGCTGTCCAGAGCGGTTGATACTGGCCTGGCTGCATGACCGCGATCGCCAGCAGGTGGTGGCCACACACGTTGCTTAGAGGGACCCGACGGCGGCGGAGGGCATTCGCTGGCCGAGCGCATGCGACCGCTGGGACCTCTCTGTCCTCCGCTGCCACCGCCGCTACTCAGTCGCTCGTTGCTCTTCTTCCAGCTGTCCGTCCTCTGCTTCACCACGGATGGGGGTGACGACTGTAGGTGGGCGGACGTGTCGACGGAGAGCAGGTCCTCCACCGATGACCCAGGCCGCATGTTGCTGGCCTTGCGCGGCACTGCTGGTGGCAGACGCTGCTGCTGGTGCCTGGAAGGGAATTCCCCGGACGAGTCACGTGGCTGAGCAGCAATCACGCAGGCACAGCAAGCACACAGTCACACATAGAATGTCAGCAACTTGTAACCACAAGCAATGCTTCTAGTTAACACTACTGCTGGTTGTAGCAACCATGCACATTTTGCACATGCACACACACACACACACACACACACACACGCAAACACGCACACACACGTACAGCACACACACACACATACACACACACACACACGTACAGCACACACACACACACACACACACACACACACACACACACACACACACACACACACACACACACACACACACGCACACACTAATCCACATTCCATTGCTTTATCAGTGAATACAAGCAAGAGGCTGAACATTGCTTCACCATGCCCCCAGTGAGTAGCAACAGATCTTTACTCCATCAACAGTGTACTACAGCAACAGTGCCACTGAGTGCAGAAGGGCACAAATCACAATGCCAAAGAGTAGATCTACAATGAACAAGAGCTAAGAGAGCATTCCACACGACTTCGCAAGTACTGGCAATAATTAGTAACGAACTGCACAACATCTAGACATCAACTGGCACAGGGAAAGCCAGACACCTGCAAGTATGTATGTACTGTGTTGCCAGTACATGAGCTGATAGATTGGTGGTCTCTCATCACACAGTTTTCAGCTCTACTACTAGTACATGCTAGATATACCACTAGGGCAGACTCTAAGTAACATACAGTTAGTTTTAGCGCTAAACTACCACCCAATCGGACTGCACATAACTTCATAAGCATTCCCTAGCGCCGCAGACTCATACTATAGCGTTAGCGCTTGTGAACCACGCATTACAATGTAGTCGTGTCACCTGAGACCACGAGACGTAGCTAGGTCTACGAGACTACATAATAATTACCGTAGAATCACGCGGATAAGCCCACTCCCATATAAGCCCATGGTTGCGCATAAGCCCAGGCCAAGTTCGAACATCGGGAAGCTTCGTTGCACAAGCCCATGGGTCAAGGTCGTACCATGTACGTAGTACTTATACGGGTTTTTCTCTTTTTTTGTACATTTCAACACAATCATCGGTTGTTTTTGTTTGCAAAGTGCCTTTCAGCAATGTGCTTCTCACTTCCTGGGTACTTTTCAGTAGCGCAATTTTGGTGTCCGAGTATAAGCCCGTGCCCGCCTATAAGGCCATGTTCTTGTATAACTATAAGCCCACGGAAATGTCCGCTGTGAAACAGATAAGCCCAGGGGTTTATCCGAGGGATTCTACGGTCTGTAGATCGCGTACACCATTGTGTGCACCATGGTCAACAGTCAGGATTACTCTAATTTCAGAAATTTTCGGTGCTCAATATGTTCGGTATGAGGGCAAAAGGCTAGGTTAGGTGAACAGAAATTTTCGGTACAGAGAAGCAGTTCCCTATTGGAGTATGTGTGTTAGTGTTTGTTCGGTGTATTGAAATTTTAGGTGTGAAACAGACACACCGAAAGTACCGAAAATATAAGTACACCGAAAATTTGTGAAATTACAGTACTCAGTAGAGCCCTAGGACTAGTCAGCTACAGCTGGGGCGGGCGCGGCGGCGGGGTTATCAAAGAATGATCAAAGACGTCAACGGGAAGAACACCCTGAAATCAAAGTAATTGTCACCAGTTGTAGTTTTCGGGGTGCTGAGTCGAATGGTCTTGGTCCGAGGAAGCTGAGACGCTCCCCTCCTCCATTATCCCCAATCGAACTCGCGCACTTCCACCGAAACTGGGTGACTGCACCCTACTAGATGGGGATTTGTATGTAAAAAGTCACTAAAAGCGCCGTTTCGATCTTATAAAAGCACGGATGACCACGATTGGCCCATATGATGTATCTTTTGGATGCTGAATCGACTGGTTTTGGTCCGAAAAGGCGAAAAGGCTGCGATACAGCGCTCAGCCCTTATTCCCAATCGAACACGGGTGAGTAAGCGGTCACTCTGCTCATGCGTACACCAGACACCTGGTCACCCTGTGACCCTACCTGCAGGATACAACTTTTACAGCGTTCCTGTCAGCTTCCCCGCACCAAGACCATTCGACTCAGCACCCCGGAGACTACAACTGTTACAGTTACTGGTGAAAATTTTGATTTTAGGGTATACTTCCCCTTTCAGTACAATGACGTATAATCGCTGAGCGTTTATGCATGATGTCTGATGCGCACCATACTGTTTGACTGCTTTTTTTGCTCGAGTGCCTGTCAGTTTGTTGTTGTTCAGGACTCAGATCGCAGAGTAGCGGAGAACTACGGGGATACCGTAGAATCCGCCGAAGCAAACAACTTCTAAAAGGTTTGGGCAGCCTGCCGAGCATCGTGGTCCAGTTGCAAAATGTTGTCATTGTTGCGTGAGCGAGATGAAAATCACTGTACAGCCAGAGCTGCACGCCCTGGCTTCTCCTTCCACGTGAAGAACAAGAGGAGCCGAGTCGATCTCTCCTTCATCTCGTGAGGTACACTGTACAATCATGTGCTGAGAAGTCTCACCAAAAAAACACCAGAGCAGCATGTCGGTCATCCATTGTGAGCCGTCTTCTCCACAACGAGGAAAAACTTACTTGGTGGCGATCCACATCATTTCTCCGCTGGAGAGTAGCGAAATAGGTACAGACTCAGTTACAGTATTTACTACTCCCTGATTATTTTTGTGCATCGTAATCGTCCACGCACGTAAAAAGTGTGGATCTACCGTGGCCGTGCAAACTAGTATTAGTAGTAAGGTAAAATTTTTACTAATCCTTTCTTGCATCACCGGTGCACCATGATTCGCATGAATGCATGATCACGCCTTGCCGCCATCACTGGCGTCAGACGCATGTTTTTATCGTCGTGTGAGCGCAACCAGTTACCATGGTTACCTTAGCACTGCACATGCACTTGCACCAAATAAGTACATTGAAATCCGTCTAACTAATTACTTAGTAACTAATTACTTATTATTACTCTAACTCGACCGCTCAAGGGACCTTCAAAACGTGGTTAGTTTGTGCACATGAACACAACGCAGACTTGACACATTCCCACAAAAGTCACGTTTTCGTGTGACCTTGTAGCTAGACTAGCCTAGGCTAGATCTAGACTAGAGCCAGCTAGCTGGCCAGGAAGGACGTGGAACTGGAAGCACACGGAAATCTATCTACACGATCTGACTGCTGCCACGACACGATGACAGTGCAAAGCCGTAAAGTACAAGGATCAACATGTTGCCTTCTTCCAGCCGGGTTTGCAAGCTTGGAGAAGAGACCCAAGATCTATTCTTTTGCAGTAACCACGCACGATTCTCAGTACGAGTAGTGCCCTGTCGCAGAAAGAACTAGTGTACCAAATATTCTGCAGGTAACAGCCTCTTCCGGTCTTCTACTACGATAGTACCAGGATAAACAGAGAAAAATAATAATACCTTCGTCTTGAAAGTGGCATCTTGAAACTATGTCGCCGGTAGTACGATTAGACTGCGTGTCCTGCCGAGACGGCGAAAAGCCCTGCAAACTTCTCAGGTGCCTGCATTCGCTGTGCATGGGTAAGTGCTTGGAGGCGCACACCGGGGACGACAACACGGTTGAGTGTCCACTGTGTGGCAAGGTCACATCAACGCCACCGGGAGCCATCCTGGCAGACTACCTACCGAACAGCCGTGAGTTTGCTAAGAACGAAGACACGCCGGCCAACGCCACGCTGAGCGAAAAGGGACACGCTTGCGAGAGCTGCGTGGAGGAGACAAGCGCGAGTGCGTTCTGCAAAGACTGCCGCAAGAGATTCTGCAGTCTACACGCGCAGGTACATCCCAACTCTCATGGCTCGTACGGGCACGATGTGGTTCCGTTGCTCGAGGACGGGACGCTTGGTGAGAAGGAGATGGCCGACTCTGGCCCTAGATGCTCCATGCATCCTTCTTCAAGGCAGTCCTATTACTGTCTGGCCTGCAGAATGATCCTGTGCGAGAAGGGCCTAGCATCCAAGCGACATGCCGCACATCGCGATGAGTTGCAGCCGCTCTCGCAAGCTGCATCCACGATCAGGAAGTCCATCATCCCCAACATGTTGGCGAGCTTCTCTGACGACAGCCGCATAGCTAAAACGCTAACCGAAACGGACGATAAACTTTCGACCCTGCATGCCAATAACATACAGGTGACGTCCGAAATTACTGGTTTTTTTGCAGGTCTGAAAACCCTAGTGGAGAAACGTGAGCGTGAGCTGCTGGGAAAACTAGACGGGTTGCAGACTGAGTACCGGCAGGCATTGCAAGAACACAAACAGCAGCTCGTAGCCAGTCAGGAAGCAGGCCAAGAAGTGATCAGGCTTGCCTCAGCCTGTAACAATAACATTGAGTTTGTCAAGGCATGGGCTTGGCTGGAGGAAGCAGGCAATGACCTCATGGCGGCCGCGGAGAGGATAGCAGATCCGCTTGCTCCCGGAATGGTGTTCTTCAGGCCCGACCTGAAGGATGACTGCGAGGAGGTGATTCCCGACGCAGGGTTTGTCAGCAAAACCGACGTGATGAGTGTGCGTGATACTAGCATGAGTGCACCGGACTGTGTGCTGAAAGGAGAGCCTCTTTTCATCACGGTCATTCCCAGGAATGAGTTTGGCGGCAATGTAGTTGCCTCAAGTGACCACATGGCTGCTGTGAACATCGCAGTAGACGCACCAGCCATGGGTGTTACGGAGTGCTCATTGACCAGCTTTAGAAGCAAGCGCAGGTGCGGGAGCACCATAGTCGGCCGCTTTGAGACGATGACGGCGGAGGGTCAGCTCACCGTCTCGACCACGCTTGGCAACCGTCACGTTGCCGGCAGCCCTGCCATCGTCACCATCGCGCAGCAGGCCGTGTTCGATCACCAGCGCTGCGATCCCGGTCTGGTCGTGTCCAACTACAACCGGACGATCACACACAGTGACCCCAGCGGAGGTACGCGGTGTGCCAGCGGCATGCTGAAATGGCGTGCGGGCCGTCACGATGTGGACATTCGCATTGATCGCTTGACCAAGGGCAGCGTCCATCACTTGTTCTCTGTGTGCAACAACCATGAAGACCCGACCGGGGATTTTCAAACCGATGGTATCTACGGTTGGTACGGTAACAGCAGGGACATGATCAGTGAAAGTACGGGCACGGCTCTAGGACAGCCGTGGCGTGTCGGTGACATTATCCACCTGTCTGTTGACTGTGACAAGCATACGCTGTATGGCCGTCACGTGCGGACCGGGGCTGAACAGACGCTGACCGATGTCCGTGGAGATCTGTGCCTGTTCGTCTCGCTCAGCTGTTACAAAGACCAAGTCACTATCCTGGACCTCATCGTGTAGAGCGGGTACTCGTAACAATTCACCCTTCTAGAGCTCATCGTGTTGAGCTTGTACCGGTCAGTGTCCTCCTCTCGTGTCTCACCATTGTTTGTACATTCCCTGGCTCTTCCACAATACATCCATTTTACGGCAGGAACTTCAATTTCCATGATATGTGTCCACTCGGCAGTTGTCTGGGGTGCTGTAAATTCTACGGTACTGCTATCGACTATTCAAGGCGCGTGACGCTCCTTTCAGTGGGCTACATGTCATTGGCCTACACGATGGCCAGAAACTCATAGTTCCTTTTGATTGGAATTACACTAGCTGTGGACAGTGCAAGGCGTGGGACTTTGTTATCCATCTGATTAGCAGATGTCCCATGTGGTTCCTAACGTTGTTCTACTTCAGTACCTGTAAGGCGTATGACTGCGTAAAACTCCCCAGTTCTACCTGCTAAGTGTTGTGTGCGTGTGTGTGTACTTCAAGGTTTGCTGATACATTCTCTGATGCATGTTTAGTATTCGTGTAAATGCATAATTATGAGTGTGATCGAATGCTTGCATGTCTGTCATGTTCCCATAGCTTAGAGATACGTGTGCGTGCGTGTGTGCATGGGTATATGTACATGTGTGCAGATAATGCATGTGTGTGTGTGTGTGCGCGCGTGAGCGCGCGTGCGTTTGCATGTGTGCATGGGTATGTGTGCATGTGTGCACGTCTGTGTGCATGTATGTGTGTGCGCGTGCGTGCGCGCACGTGTGTGTGTGTGTGTGTGTACCTTTCGCCATTACCTGTTAAACTGTTTCATTCAAATCGTGTCCATTTTTTTGCCGTTTATATAAAGAGAAAATCCGTGGAGGGCTTCTGTTGCGACAGGTGTACGTGACACATTATAACTTTCGTGGTACATGGTACCTGCATGCAAGCTGTATTCATGAGCCAAGCCATTGCTGGACTGAATACTGTCCAGCATCAACATCCAGTACAGTCATGCTGGCTATCAAACATTAGCTTACTCCTCACTACATACATTGGCATGAGTACTGTCATGGCTCTGGCGAGTCCCTTCATGGTTCTGGCGAGTCCCTTCATGGCTCTAGCGAGTCCCTTCTTGGCTCTGATGAGTCCCTTCTTGGCTCTGATGAGTCTCTTTATGGCTCTGGTGAGTCCCTGTATGACACTGGCCACCCAGTGTGTAACTGTTATGGCAACCAAGTGGAACACTGTCAGATTTCACTTCATGGTGTGAGCACCCAGAAGTGTACCCCTTGAATGTGTGTAGCTGTTGAAAAGTGCCACCCCAAGCCCAAGGAGCCAGCAGTGCACACAAAGTGAGTGCAGTGATTGCAGTAAGTAGAGTGGTATTCTGCTTCCAGTGGTTTCATGGCAATACGTATGCAACCAGTCAGACTCCCAAGCCACAGGTATGGTTGTACAGTCTACTTTGCGTATAACGACACTCGGCGGGGCACCAGGAAAGTGTCCTTATTCGCGAAGTGTTCTTTTACCCCGAAGTCTCATTATTATTATGCATACAGTTAGATGGGACTTTGCTCTGGGCATGACAATTCTGTCGTTATATCCGCAGTCGTTATAAGCTACAGGTACGGTTGTATTGATAGTGGAGCCTAAGTATGTTGAGAAATAAAGTCTGTATAAAAGAAACAAAATTAAGCCGCACCGTGACAAAAAGGTGCTTATGGCAAAAAATTCACAAACTGAGTTATGGACACAGCGCAATGGCTGAATTTTTACTGCTTCTGTTGCAAAAAAAAACGCATTCAAAAAGCTTGATAAATCGCAACGAAGCTGATCAAATTCAAAAAGAAAATGTGCACTCTCAATATTGCATACTCAACGTTCAAACGAGTTTTCGCAGTTTGATGCCGCGTGCCATAAGCACCCTTTTGTCGCGTCGCGGCTCAATTATGATGCACTGTTTGCTTGCTCGGGAGATGGGGACCAAACAATACTGGGTTTCCATTATAATAGTGCATACCCATGATGTTGTACATGTGCCGTAAAGTACCACCAGAGCGCCGTGTCTCGCGAGAGCCCACCACCTTGATTTTACAGCCAAGGAAAGGAGAATCGTATGGCAGTGTGCAACAAAGTTTGTACGGCATGAGAACCTTAGTATACTAAGGTCACACTTGGCAGGTTTTTGTGTGGAGCTTGTGTCCGCTTGAAGGTAAATCGAGTACGGACTGACTGCACAACGTGTAACATGTGTACAAGGTTCGTGTCGTATGATCTCCAGGCAGGAGAGCACCTCCACAACACGACCACGGAAGGACGAGATAGTGGGGCGCTCTGGTGGTACTCTACAGTACTGTCGGGCGCCGAAAAACTGGGGGTCGGCCTCCTAGCCTAGACCGTTCTTATTCTCATGTATTACAGTCTATGCACAGTTGAACCACCGTGTATACATTGGTATTCTGTGCTTGGTGAAACCCTAGCCTGCTCGTTCTTCGGCGCTCCGTTATAGTCAAACCTTTCCGTACTTGGTACTGTAAGTCTGGCCGGACCACCTCCGAGGGAGGTGCTACGCACCTGCACTCTACAAACGAGCACAAGGGTCCCGTTCATGCTTAGCACATGCGATGATCTCAGTCGCATGACCATGTTAGCTTCCGTTCACGACTGGAAGCGGTGCAAGTCATGCTACACTACATTGATATCATGGCAGGCATGTCTAAGACTAGTACATGATGATGTCGTGAGCAGAGTACATTATGCCATTGGTACTGTCGTGCACACCGCCACACTCTGCGTGAAGAATAGCACTGGACAGCACTGGGAAATGTCCAGGCACACTCATATCTCCCCTTTCGCGATCTGGAGGTTATGGGCAGATCCGTGTACTAAGCACCCCGTGGGTGAGTCGTAGTGGAAATATTACTACTCCTTTGCCATTTTTGTGGAAATAGTGATGTCATGTGCTAGATATCTGGCCCTTCCCCATTGAAACGTATGTGATTCAGAGTTTCGAACATTTCAAAGTTTGGGGCAGTGCCCGGTCCGGGAGTGCCTGGATAACAGAGGTACGAGTGTATGATGGAGTGCACACCCCAGCAGGTAAGGCCCTAGTACACAACAACTGGGCTAGGCCATGCAGGTCTCTACAACAACAGAGAACACAATCAGCCTGCACATGCCTGCACATGCCTGCACATGCCCGGGCAGTGCGAATGACCTCCCAGAACAAGTGTGCTGTCCAGCCAGGGCATTATAGCATACTAAGAGGACATTATGATCAATAGATTGCCTCACACTCAGAGATTTTCTCGATTAGGCTAGAGCCGGTGGAGGAGCCAGAAGTACAAATACTTTTCAAGTACGTCTACAGAGCTGCCCCATACAACCACCATAAAACTTGTCACACAACAGCCATGTGGTTTAGTAGGAACACAAGAGAGAGAGAGAGGGAGAGAGAGAGAGAGAGAGAGAGAGAGAGATAGAGAGAGAGACAGAAAGAGAGGGAGAGAGAGAGAGAGAGAGAGAGAGAGAGAGAGAGAGAGATAGATAGAGAGAGAGGCGAAGCTGTGTTGCTGGTTTAGTATGAACATTGATATTGTGGATACTGCGTGCCAGTGGTTGTGAGACGAATCCCGTAACCTCCACCGATAGGCACTGCATTTGCCACTGGATTTGCCTGGGGTTAGCGGCCATCTAGAGCTTCCTCGGGAATGGACACGACAATTTACTTACTTACTGTTCTGCCTATCCTAGTGGAAAAATAGAGACTTACCAGGTTTGTTTTTGGCTTGACTGGTGGTGGAGCAGGAGAGGGGTTACGTGACGAAGACGTAGATCCTGGTCCGTGCATCAATAGATCGTCATAGTCCAGCCTGGCACCACTCTGGAGTGTGGAAACAACACAACATGACAATATCTAACTGATTATCTACCATGTGAACATAGTAAACTCGGATGGTGAGCCAATTTTAATTGGCTCACCATGTTTACAAAATTAATTAGTCATAACTCAACATTTTGTCCTTCTCCTTTTGTAAATATAGTGACAGGATGTTGTTGCAGAGTGAATGGCAAAGAGCGGGTCTGCTCTAAAACCGCTTCCTATGAATGAAGCTGCAGGAAGCCTCACCACCGCTACTAAACCTAGTGAGTTGCTTCTTTTCACAATAGAAAAACTCGGAAATGTGGAAAAGTCTGAAATGAAGTAAATCACGATGCGAATTTTAAATTCCTGCCAGTTGAACTGCAGTTTTCAGACTGAGGCCAATTCAAGTGAAGATTAGAAGTCAAGATAATGTTTCTGATGCGATTCGTGTGCGTGTGTGTACTTGTGGGTGCATTTGTGTATGTGTTTGTGTGTGTTTGTATGTGTGTGTATGTGCACGTGCACAAGTGCACGTGAGTGTAGAAGACAAACAAATGCGGAGATGCCATCTGCTGGCACGCACATACCTGACCACACGGCGTTGTCAAGAAGTCACCTGGTATCCCACACACGGGCACCTACAAATACACAGACACCATAGACCAACGCACATCACTCCTTTTCCCTTACGAACATACTTTCTCATTTTCCATACTTACTTAGGAGACTCCCTTCGATAGGCATCTATTTGCCTCTGGAGGATCCGTGAAATAAAAATCAATCAAAAATCAATCAATCAAAAACTCCATGAATTTACGCCACATCCACAGAAGAGGTCAGGTAACCTGAGATGATACTTCTGTAGAATGATAGCCGGATGCATGTGCAATACACCTGTTGGGTTTCAAAACTGTTGCAAAAGATGAGACCACATACTGTTGGATGTTTTCTTTGCATAATAGGATGGCCACTGGAGTAAATGGGGTTGGTCAAGGCACAGGCAGATCGTGGTGTATCCATATGAAACTGCTGATCTAACCAATGCTAGACATGGGCGTTGGAGCCATCGCGGCTAGCCCGGCTGACTCGGCTCCAGTCGGACCTTTACTCTGGCTGGTACATTTGCTCCCCAGCCAACCACATATTTAGTTTTACTGGGGTTCCTATTTTATCATGAAAGAGTGGCAAATGCCCTCAAAATGCAGGATTTGGCTTAATTTTTCACAAATTTCCAGCAGATGGTCCCCCGCACCCCTTTTCGGCCACTTGTGCGAAGCTGGACCAACGGGCATCTAGTAGCATGGCATTCTCACCTTCTTGTGGAAGCTGATCAGCTCCTTGAGGCCAGGGTGCGCCCGGCATTCGCCCACTATGAGATACTTGCCAGACGCTGTCTGATCAATCATGAAGTGCTTGCAGCGATTGATCGACCTGAAATCACAGTAGCAAAGATTGGCACACAGTTTGCAAAGAGACATTCACAGTCCATTTGCCAAGTCAAGAACAAAATCTTTCGCACCGATACAATGCTATTTCGTGTGAAATCAGGAAGTAGACAGAGATGTGAGAATGGAGCCAACTATTGTACCCGTGTCGAAAGGTTTGGCGAAGCAGAAAATGCCTCATAATCGACAGCCTCGTTTCACACGCCGGACATACGTTATGATAGCATAATGCATTGATACTGAGTTCGGATTACTGGGTAAGAATTACTAGGGGTGTGCACGGGTAGTCGGGTACCCGTGCCACCCGTGAGGACCTCGGGTAGACGGGCACAGAATAGTACCCGAAAACCCGAAGTCGCAGATGACATCATGTACAGTGCACGTGTACAAATTCATGCAATACTCCGCATGTCTACCCAGTGTGTAAGGGAAGGGGTGCATTGTGGTGTTACCAAGGAAACATTACCCGCTGTCTGTGTCTATGTCGGTAACTGTTATGTCGGTGTACGTGGAGCATTGCTCTATTTTGGCACACAACGCTGACTGCTCTGACGACGTATTGAGTGGAGGCAGATCATCACATCGTCACAAGATCCCACTCTAATCCTCCAGAACAGGCCCATCACTTTGTACCTACCTGAATGACAAAGAGTAGCCAAACCGAGTCTCACTGACACGTATCAGGAATGATCCAAGCGGTTGATCTACAAGAAGCTGCTCAGCTTGCCTGCATATTAGCAACAACATATCACGAGGCAGATGACAAAGAGCCATTGGAGAACGCACTTCAGAGTATTGGGATCGATCACCAAAACATAATATTCTCAACAGGCTAGCACCATTCACTAACAGCCATGGAGTAACGGTGGCGGGGTGCCGGCAGCTACGGCACCAGTGGCAATAAAAGTGAAAGCAGAAGCAGTAGAAACAACAGCAACAGCAGAAGAAGCAGCAGGAGAAGAAGCAGCAGCAGCAGAAGCGGCAATGGCAGGTGTAGCTGCAGGAGCAGCGGCAGCAGAAAAAGCAAAAGCAACAGATTCAAAACCAGCAGCAGCAGCAGCAGCGTCAAAACCACCAGCAGCAGCAGAAACGGAAGTAGCAGCTGTTCATGGCCTGCCAACGCCACGAGTATTGTAGCTTACTACATGTAGTCCTGACGGTTAACCACTTGTAAGACTAGAGAGTAACAAGGACTGTAGACTGTAGACTGTAGTGTACATAGTACATAGTACATACCTTCTGCTGATAATGCCATGAAACCACAGGGACACCTGGCCATCCGCCTGTTTGATACCAGCTGTCGGCGCTTGGGTTTCACGAAACCACCGCAACGAACTGGTTGATGTGAATCATGGGAGAAGAAAGGAGCAGAAGCAGGAGAGAGGATGTGAGACAGTGAGTTGGACAGACACACAGACAGGCGAAATAGAGACAGAGATATTGCTTCAGAGCAGAAAAAAGAGAGATACATACGGCGAATTTTAAGAACCAGTTCAGGGGAGATAACAGTGACAGAAAAAGGAAAGTAAGGGAGTAATGTCGAGTGGCCGTGCACCATGTCAGCTATCCATGCCCTCGACCCCGCATTTAACCACCACCGCTGGATAGTCTTTCACAGCAGTGATTGGAGGAAGCATACTGATGGCCAGCGGCGGATCCAGCGATCTCTATGGGGGGGGGGGGGGGGTTCCAGTATAGTAAAAACTGAATAGCTGATACATGTACATGGACAGGCATATGGTTGTCAGTAGCACATTTACGATTTTTAGGGAGTTCCACGGAACCCCTGGAACCCCTCCTGGATCCGCCCCAGTGATGCTACATACATGTTCCTACTGTTGACAAGGTCAAGTGCAGGAGCTCGTGACGGCAAGGAAGATTGAAAGTGCAACGGACGGACAAACTACTGTCGTGGACTGACGGAAATCCGATGGGATGACCGGGGCCGGTGCCCTTGCTGCTATCAGCCCGTGCATGCACTGTAGTCCACGTACACACTGTAAAAAAATGGACCAGCAGTGCTGGCGGCTGCAAGGCCAGCCACCCAGTGGCCGCTTGACTTTGAAACGGACTTCAATGTGCGATGCAGTAGCTGACCACATTACAACAATGACGACTGCCCTGTCATTTACTTCCACACATATAGTACATACAGCAAAAAGCAACGAGACACATGTAGATGATTCAAGGTGGACAGCATGTGAAAACGAGAGCATTGCTCCTGGCTGGCTAACTTACGCTGCACGGGTTCCTTCTTTTCCAAAATGCTTGTACTTCGGCTTCCATTGTTCGGGGACCGGTTGTACTTCATCAATGTCAAACCCATCCAACTGCTCTTCCTCGTCTTCACCCGACGAAGAGTCACTGGATATCGTCGTGGACTGCGCGAAACAGTCCAACAGCGCCACACAAACATACACCCATGCACACACGCACACACGCATGCGCGCGCACACACACACACACAGACACACACAGACACACACACAGAATTATTGTAAGGATAACATGACCGTGGATGTACAGATACAAATCACCTCAAGTGCAGTGCCGCTATCGCACTGATCGAATGACAAGAGTTTGACTTCCATTCAAAAGAGTGTCTCGTGTCAACTTCATCACCTGGTGGTACCCTGATATAAGCCAACCCGGCAGCAGGGCATACATACATCTCACAGCCAGATTATCTGCAGGGAGTGCGCAACATGGATGAAGCGCACAGAAAACCAAATGGGTCGTCTTCCGGGAAAATAAGAACAGAATGTAGGTGCTTATGCCGTAAAACCACATGGTCTTGATGCTCTATGGTTCACATGTCTTACATTGTAAATGTGTTCGGCAAAAAAGCACACATTATAACATTTGCACCTACAGCAACAAGATTGGCCTCCAGCTCATGAGTAGACGGTGGTGGTGGAAGATCAAATGTTGACATGGGTTCTGCTCCGTGTTCGTCAAACATAGACGGTGCGGGTCTTTCTGCATCTTGTCGGCAATGGCTGGACAGAGAGGCACCAATTCTCGCTGAGGACTCAGAGATGATGCCGACGAACGCCTGCAGCATCTCTCGTTCTTGTCTCGCTTTGATGAACAGCGGTCGTGTGCCTTTTCTTGATACATGTCCTCGGATAACTAAACAGTGACATTGATGATGCATACACAGATACAACAAAGACAAACACATCATGAGCTGCCTGAAGATATGCGATGATATCATCATTCTAATATCTTTGTAAGGAGTAGCTAAAGCGCCAGCAGCTCAAACAAACTCACGCTGTACACTAAGCTCCCATAAACAAAACCGCCAACCCCCGCTTTATACTCAACTCTCACAAGCGAATCCGCTGGCCCACACTAAGTGACCATGGCATCATTTGGATAATGCCTATATAGATGAACCTAGCAAGAATAACGCTGCACGTCATTGAGACTCGTACAAGTGGCAGACTCGCATTCACTACACGCAAAGTTCCCTTTGCTGATCACACAAACTTACCTTTCTGCAACACAGTGGCAGCTCGGTGCACTCTTTCCAGTTTCCGCGAAAGCGTGTCCAGATGGTAGTACTTCAGGAAAACTTTCGTTTTGCTGCACAGCGTCCGCACACAACGATAGAACAGAAAACCAAAACACAACATTACGGGAAAATAATATGGAGCAGGGAGCGGTACTTTCTTGCAGGTTTGCTGGAAGGTTTAGATGGACTTCTCGTGTGCTCTGGATGGCAGTAGAAAGTCAGTCAAATGTAAAGTCAAACTCGGCAGGAAAGTGCGAGCTCCAGTTCCAGTGACGAGAGCAACCAACTTGCTTGCAAAACAAAACATGTCCAGCTATTGATAAGGCAAGCAAGAGTAGCCATGGCCATAGGTTTTCAAAGATAACATTTTTTAAAGAAGCAAAAATTACTGGCTATATTTGTATGGCTCCAGCAGGACACAACGGAGTGTATTTAGGCAGAATTCCGACTTTGCAATAACTCCTCTTCAGTGCAGGCTAGTCTTGCTCTGCATGCTCTGTGTCCTGGAATGTATTACCAGAACAATCCATATCACAACGGCTGTGATATGGAACTCCCGTTGGAAATACAAGTATGATGAAGCTACACTGCACAGTTAGACCTCGCATAACCACACACAATCCGTTTTCCACACAAATATCCGGATAGGTGAGGGAACTGGATAATCGAACACACATTCTGTGTATATGCATGCCACAGGCTCTAAATCGGTAACCAACGATTTTCTTCCGGATGGCGAGGGATCCGGATAAAAGAGGACCGGATAAGCAAGGTCTGACTGTATTACTCACCCAATCTGAAATCCGGTGATGCCAGCGGCATTCAGGATTCTCCGACAACTGTTCCAGCAGTGAAAGGCAAAGCAAATGATCACAGCAACACGTACACATTATGTCCAATCTATAGACACACGCTATTTTAGATGTATACAGGCTCAAGCTCTATTACATCTCCCCTCAAAACATGTGTCAAGTTGAGTGTGCAAGACCCTGTGCTGTGGCGGAATGACTAGGGAAGATTTTGTAGAGATTTGGTTGTTGTTGTATACTGTATTTAATGTGGGAATCAAAACAGGCATAACGAATGATACTGGAGACCATAAGCAAACCGTCGGGCCGTTGATTGGGAAAAACTGGGAACGAGGCTGGCACGCAGGGAAACTCGAATCGTTTCGCGAACACGATTGGAGCAGCCCCAACGGGTGATCACGAAACGATTACGATTCCGGTTGCATCACGCATCACTTGCATCACGTGCCTGAATGGTTCAACGCACGGCTTTGTCCCGTGCATGGTTTGACGATTGGAAATCGGAGCTGTCCAATCGTTCGACCGTAAGCGTGACGGTTTGCTAATGGTTTCTAATAATAATAATAATAACGGACCCATTGCACAGGGCACACATTTAGTGGATTGAGTGAATGCGATGCAATGGCTCAATCAAGGAAGTCTGTGTGTACATGGTGGACTAAAACTAACCCTTTGGCGTCGGGCCTGATCTGAAGGTTTGCTAGACTCTTGAAGCGAGATACAAACTCCTCGAAACTGGGCCGAATCGCAAAGCCTTCTCGACGGATGCGAGTTGTCTCCAGCATCCCGGTGTAGCGCAGCTGCAACAGTACGCAGGCAGGCATGCACACTGAGTTCATAATGGGAATAATGCGGGGAGAAATGGACGGAGAGAGAGGAGGGCCCGGGGAGAAACAGAAGAGAGAGAGGAAGGCCTGGGGAGAAAAGAAGATGAGAGACAGGAAGGCCCGGAGAGAAAAAGAAGAAGAGAGAGGAACACCCGGGGAGAAAAAGAAGAAGAAAGAAGGAAGGGCATAGCTCGAACTGTACAGCAATGGTACTGCATTCTGCAATGGGGTCAAACGGCACAGCACCAACACTGTTGCCACCCCTACTCTCTGTCTCTGGGCCGTACCTGTGCCATGCCAACAGATCGTTATCCACATACTGCGAGGCCCACACAGGTACTTGCACTGAAAAGTAAAGTTATCATCTACTCAGCCTCCACCCCCCCCCCCCCCCCTCCAACCATGTAAAGTGTGACCAACTCACCTGGGAGAGAACAAAGTCTTCTTCAAACACGCCTGGCTTCTGTGACATAGAAAACAGTAAGAAATCAAAGAAACATACTAGTGACGTTTTCTGGCCAAGAAGATAATGGGTACATCCGCATTCGCGCCCTGGTCCAATTTACAGCATCTCGAGCAACCATCAGCCATTCACTGCGTGTCGCGTACAAAAATTTTAGTGAATCAGAGAATATGGCAGGTCTCGCAGGCTTCTGATTGCCTACATCCATGGCGACGGTGATGTGACAGCCAAGAAGCATTCAGCATAGACACTAACGACATGTTAACACCAGAGTACTGGAGTTCAAATTTGCATTGCATGTAAGCACTCTCTGACAACAATGATTGCCGCATCTCACCTTTCCAGTATTGGGTTTGATACACCGGACAAAGTGTGGTGTGCATGCAAACATCTTCTCCATCAGCAGATTCAGAGAGTTCTGCGGAATACACACACATACATGCATGCACGCACACATGCACACACACACACACACACACACACACACGCACACACAAGCAAACACTGTCATCAAAGAGAGTTTGCCGGCTGTGGTGTTACACAATGTACGGGAGGACATGACTCTGACTTTGGTATTGCAGAACTCATTGTGCTTCTAGCAGTTAGAAGACTCTGACTTTGATTCTTCGAGCCAATTTTGGTGTTCACTCAACTTCATTGTGTTTGATTGAGCCAGTCATGTTGAGCTCTGCTTATGACACCAAACAAGGTCGAAGTAGCTAACTATCCAGAGATTGACTTTCGCCTATTGAGAAATCTCATCCTCAGGGGCTAAACTGGTCTCCCTTCTAGGGGGGTGCACGGCCGCATACATGCAAGTGTAGGATTGCTGGTGCATGTCATTCGTGGTCATAACGTGCATGCTGAACCTAGGTCGAAATTGTTAGGGGGTGCATGTGTCCCCTGTGCCCCATGTGGACTACGCGCCTGAATCGGAATGGACACGTATATCCGCCCTGTTGGGAAAGTCACATGCTGGAGATGATAGTCACACACGCACGCACGCACACACACACACACACACGCACGCACGCACGCACGCACACACACACACAGGGTGTCTAATGTACCTTGAATTGTGTGCTGACAGTGAGGCCTCTCCTGCCAGTGGCTGTCCGCGACCGGCCAAATGTCTCCTCTCCCTTGCGCTTGCGAGACTGCATTGCAAGGTACCAAAGCAAAAGCATAGACCAAAAAAAATAGGTACATTATCATGTCCGTTCCCAAAGGGAACTCACAATGGCCGCTAACACCCGGTAAACCCTAGCGGCAGATGCAGCACCTAACGGTGGTACATGGATGCGGCTAATGGGGTTTCTCCACACTTGTGCCAGTGTTTGTGAGACTTATCCACTCACCCCCCACCGTTCGGAGCATAGACCAAACATGCATGGAATAACAATTATAACGATATCCACTTATTTCTGTGTGCCCATCAGGCCGTTGTCTGTTGTCGGTGCTCACACATGTGAGTACAACGACGGCCTACATGCGCTTGCTGCACGTTCCAAGATGCTGTCGTAGGAACAGCCGAACACAAGCCGGTTCGTGTGCGCGGTGCATTTTGAGATGTTGATAGCAGCGCTCAATGCTTGTGTTCAGAGTTCTTGTTCGGTGCAGGAGATATTGGATGCACTGTATTTCTGCACCAGAGCAACGTGAACTGAAGCTAAGAGCGTGTCACCCCCCCCCCCCCCCACACACACACACACATACACCCCCCCCCTCCCCCCCCCACACACACACCCTACGCTCCCTTTCTAGCACTTCTCCCGTTATACCCAGCGTCAGTGCAGGTAGAAGTGCACCATCCATGCTGCGTACAAAACAACCCTGTCGTCTGCAGATGCATAGCTATAGGCTCTGCGGCAATTACATTGACTAGAGACAGCCGTGTTCCTTGCACTTCAATCACATCCATAGCAAAGTGTACACGTAGACTTACCACTCTGGCTTTGCCACTCTTGCGTCTCCGACTCTTCACGGCCAGTGTCCCTGTTCTGGTCACGGAACCTGAACAGCAATAGAAGCAAGCAGTATGAACACCACAAACATCACCTCACTGCACACCAGTAACCATTCATTTTCTTGTAAGAATTCGATGACACACATGCACACAATGAACATGGCATTGTCTGCGGCAAGCTCCTGTTGTTGCTTGAATGATGCCAGTGTATACACTAGTTATACTATCAGTTTAAGCCCTATGGAGTAAATGCAACTAAAGTCGCACCTTTCTTAAATGGAGTGCAAGGGTAGAACAGCTCAACTGATTTTAGATCATGCAGGGACGAGCCAGGGGAGTAAGAAAAGGAGATGCAGACCGGACGTAGTCATAACATCCAGGGAGGGCACACAGCACAACCAGATGAAATGCAAAACAAAGTGTACGTCGCTCCTGGTCTGTGCTTTCCTGTTGCCTTCGGCCGGGATAAAATTACACATGTGTTGCATGCATCACCAGTGCGGGATACGCTTTCAGTCAGTAAGTTGTGGCTTTGATGCTGATCTGTGTGGTAGAAACCATGGATCATCACGTGGAACTTAGAAGTCCGGAATCAAAGTGGACCACGTTTGGGGTATACCTGGTCTCAAGTTGCCTCTCTGATTTCTAACGCTCTCCATTCCAACACCCCTGGCTGTATACTACTCACCCATGAAGATCTCATGTACAAGATCATTGGTGCTGGCTTGAAATAGCTCAACTGCTCCAGTGGGCAGAGAGTCACGGTTCTTCTCCAGGAAACCACTTGCAAGATAGTGAACCTGTGTGAACATGCATAAAAGAGGTACACACATATGCACGTGTTTAAGATTATCAGGGGACAAGTTAGGTCCGTGTGAGACCGGTGCGGTTCTCTAACCCTGCATCCCCCTCTCTCAGTCATGCAAAAATACACACACACACACACACACGCACACACACACATTTACTCACTCATTCACTCACTCTATTTGTCTCTCATCAGCCTTAGAATTCACCGTTCTATCTCATAATCAGTTTAAAGGTACTTCTCCAATGATGCACAGCTTGTAACTGTTATTTACCTTTCCAGCATAGTGCACAATGGTGAACTGTGGGGCGTCCGGGTACTTGGGGTCATGGCCACTGACAAAGTATTTGGACGATTTGAACTTCTCCTCCAGTTTCTGCACATACGTGAAGTCAGTCGCCTGCAAGATATCAGAGTCAAGAAACGACAGACAGTGTTTCAATAGAACTGGTCAGAATGCACTCACAGTGGAGCACACAACTGACACCTTTTGGTAACATGGGGCAGCACCGTATTCGCTGGAGTCAGAGCACACAAGGGTCCGGGATAAAGGTCATACAGGGGAGTGAGAGGGGGGGGGGGGGGTGGAGGGGAGGGGGAATTCTCCTCAGCTCTGACCCCGGACGCTGATGGTGAGTGCTGCCTCAAAACAATACAACAGTTGCAAATCCACATGCATGCACAGGTGTACACATACACAGACAGACACACACACAGATACCCCCCCCCCCCCCACACACACACACAGGCACAAACATGTGTGTACATATGCTGGCTTGTACACATGCAGTGACCTAATCCTGCTCTTCCTCCTTATCGCTGTGCAAAATGAATAATTCTATAATGATACCAGACTAGACAGAAGTGGAAGCGCCATCAGGTATGTTGGTTCACTCACCCTGGGAAAGATGGATTGCTCATCCAGCAAAGCAAACAGACCAGCTGGCTTGGACAAGAACATTTCCTGAACAGCAAAAATAGGCCAGCCAGCACAGCATTCCATGGCTTAGAGGAGGCTGAGGTGAGTGATTTCTGCAACTATTCAGTCATGCAAGGCCGAAGCCAGACTTGAGTTGCAGCTTGGAAAAGAACCCTTCAAACAATAATGGAGTAGACTCAATGGCTCATAGCAGAGATGAACAGCAAGGTGAGGTAGTAGTTTACACTTTGTCGCAAGACAAGTCTTGAATCAGATAAACAGATAATGAGAGCCAGCACATGCGTGTTGTACAATCTTGCCGCATCTAATGGTGGCATTGTGGCCAGATGGGTCAAACAATCAAGCGGCTCCATCTTGCTTGTCCACATTACAACAGTTGCGGCAAATATTGCACAGCAAGAGAGAATGCACAAGCAGTGCCATGCGCATAATTGATATCATACGCCCCGTGTTTATCAATCAGTTGTCATTGTGTGCATGCTAATCTCTCACCAGAAGTGGTCGGTTATCGATGAACGGGATCTCATTCCAGTCGACACCCTCCTTGGCATACTCTTGCTGTTCCAGAAAGAATATGTGCTGCAGAACACAGAGAGCATGGCCAATTGGCCAGGATAGAGGTAAATAGACCGGTTCACATGCGACTCAGTCATGCAGAATTTTCTACAGCTTCAGGAATGCCACCACGCTCAAGGATCAGGGCACAGATGCAGCTCCTGAAGCAGTGGGACGACGAGAAAAGACATCATTGAGAATGCAGTGTGATGTCAGTGCACAACCACTCACAGTGCATTTGTTTGTGTGCTCTATGTACACTGCAATTTTTCAAGCAATTGTAGTAAAACCGGTCAAGGTGACCACTCGGATAAGGTGACCACCTGTCCTACAAAACAACTGAAACCAGGACCAAGGGATGCTATTTCCAGTCAAATCACCCTGGATAAGGAGACCACCTGGTTAACAGAGACCACCTTGTGAAGGTCCCTTGAGCGGTCGTCTTAGACAGGTTTCATTGCACGTAATTAACCGTGCATTATGCGGCACACCATGCCCGGTGTAATAGAATAATTCCACACCAATAATTCGTACAATTCAGTGTAGATCCACGTACATGTACATGCACACTGTGCAAATCTCAGTCACATACCTCGTTGAAGAAATATTGTATCTTCTCATTGGCAAGGTTGATGCATAGCTGCTCAAAGTTGTTCTTCTCAAAGTGCTCAAAACCGAAGATGTCCAGTATGCCTGAAGGAAGACGAACACACCAGAAATATCGGGACCAGAGAGTGAGAATGAAAAGCTTGTGCTATTATCACCGACTGGGAGTAGGAATGCTTGTACGCTATCGACAGGCTTGAATATGCGTTTTGGTTCAATTTCAGCAACAGTGTTGTCACATGCCAGGGTTCTCCGGCTACAGTCAGTCATGTCTATTGGGTGTGAATGTACGCAGAACCATCTACACACAAACGGCAGAGAGGGGGTTTACAGATATATCGCAACTCAAACCATATACATGTATTTCCAAATACGAATTCGCTGGACTCGGAGAGATTAGAGGGCACAATTTGCCTTCAGAGGATTGCCTCACCGATTTCCGAGCACTCCGGTGCCTGGATGTTTTCCTTGGGTGCCAGTAGTCCATTGACACGCAGTATTATCCAGCTGAACATGCGGCCGTACATAACCTTGGCCATGGCATCACGACCATCTGCACAAACACACACATACACACACACACACACACACACACACACACACACACGCACACACACGCACACATACAAACATTTGGTGTGCAAGAATGGACTCGGATGGAGAGCCAAGGATAAATTTATAGTAAAGAAAAAGGACCAAGGAACTACAAGTTACGCTATAATGTCCACTAACACCACCAGTTACTAAACAATCAGCTTAGTGCACATTATAGCGTAACTTGTAGTTTATTGTTTTTGGTTTTTTTTACACGTTCATTTAGTAGAAATTACATACCGGAAAATGTACTTGCAGCCATGCACACCGTACTAGTCTCCAGGATTCAGATAGGGAATTTGTCAGGAAAAACTGAACCTCCTCCTCTACATTTATATGACCGGTGTTGCTTGCACAATGGGAAAGCAATCTATGTACGCCTTTCACCCAGACTTGGCATCACACTTGATATCAGACTTTCGTCCGTACTACGCAAACCGGTGCATTTCTCCCTCTATACAGCAGAGAGAGAGAGAGAGAGAGAGAGAGAGAGAGAGAGAGAGAGAGAGAGAGAGAGAGAGAGAGAGAGAGAGAGAGAGAGAGAGAGAGAGAGGGGGAGGGGGGGGGGAGAGGGGGAAGCTCACATCATAGTTTCACGCTAACACAAGGGTTGCTTGTTGAGTATGAATAAACGTGAAACTCCTCTCTATCTATCTCTCTCTCCCTCTTTGTCAGCTACTTCACCCTTTGGTTGGAATCGGTGTTGGGTGTTTCCCCAGTTACATAGTTCAATGCTGTCCCCTGCTTGATGGCTACCCAGTGCTGCTCAGTGACTGTCTGTGACTGTCAGTGATGGCAATCTAGGCTTCACACAGGGCTCTATTCTCCCTTCAGGACATGCAATTTTGCTTTGGACCAGAATTATTCATTATCACCGTACCTTGTGCTTTCTCCTTGGTCAGCTTGGTCGTGATAATCTCACCCGCTGTCAGCGTCTCCTTGGTGGTGAAGTAGCCATCGAGTATGGAGGCCTGTACGCCCAGCAGAGCTGCGACATCTACCAGGATCCTCTCATTGGACAGCTGAGCGTAACCTGCGTCGTCCTCCACAATGTCCACGTTGCCCAGCGCTAGAACAGTTGCCAGTGCGCGGAACATGTCGCTTTGGTCCTGCGGCGCACGCCAGCAATCATATACAAGCACATAATTATGACAAAAATCATATTTTCTATGTGTTTGTAAGCTTGCTGCATCCAGTGGCAGCCCTGCTGCATGTCACCCCAATGATAGACCATCTGTCCTTAGAGACCAACACTGCAATAGATCACCACATGCAAAAAGATGCCCGTTATCTCAAACACCAAGGCGAAAGCCAGCCACATTTCCACAGGCATGCAACAAGTGTAGAAGGCCAGCTGGCTCCAATGACCCGTTCTCTGCACGTCATGTGACTATCGTACCACCAACATCATGCATTGATCCCTGATGATGCCCTCCTGGGTGGAAATTTGGACAAGTTACTGTGGTGTAGCCAAGGACTGTTCGTGTGTTGCGAGTTGGGTGTACTGAAAATATGACAAGGCTACAATGGAGCTTCAAAGTTCTTACACCAACACCAACAACATGTACATGTATATTATGTTACCATGGCACCGCAGCCCTCAAACACTGCAGATTCTCTGTTGTCAAGGTAGGGCTAGTATGAATTGAACAGAGAAAGCGATTGCACAATAAAGATCGTACCTCCATGGTGAATCCGACCATATCCATTGCGTTGACCAGGTTACCAAACTCCTCCTTCAGCTGACTGTGATTACGTTCTATAGTTTCCCAGCTCCTCTTCATGTACCTACATAGCACACATCACAAGCCAAAGTCATCATATACATGTTAGCATGGTGCTGTGCTGGCAATGCTTTCAGCAGGCAGGGCTGCGCTGATTACTGCCACCTCTGGCAGCTAAGCAGCACGCTAAGTAGACAATGGATCTACATGTACATGTAGATCGGAAAACAATTAAATTTTAGTATTGAACGCTGGGACGGATAACTTGGGCCAAAACTGCCTGGTCCAGACTGGAAACCGTCTTGATCCTTGGGTAGTTAAACACACCGTCTGCACCCTGCTGCACTTACCTGGACTTGCACGTCAGGAGAACATTAGAAGCTAAGGTTTCCTTGTTAATCCATACAATAGTCATACTACACTTTTACCTCGGTTATCCGAACAGCGAAGTCCCGGGCACCCTTTGGGCGAGATTGGAAATATTACTACTCTTTTGCCACTTCAGTGGAAATAGTGATGTCATATGCCATATCTATGGCCTTTGCGCATCAAAAGGTATGGGATTCGGAGTTATGGACATTTAAAAGTTATGGGCAGTGCCAGGTCCCGGACGGCCCGGATAAACGAGGTATGAGTGAACTCACCGGCAGTTTCTGGCAGTGTCCAGACAGAGGTTGCTGAGCTCACTCACTGACAGGCCGGCAAACATGTAGTAGAATACATGGAAGTTGCCCTCTTCCCAGCCTTGCACTGCCACGCGAGACCTCTCCAGCAGGTACTCGGAGATCTTGGCACCGATCACTGTGCACACGATGTGCGTGCACGTTTGCACACACGCACACGTGCACACACACACACGCACAAACGCGTGCACACACACACACACACATGCATACATACACACAAATGCACACACACACACACGTGCATACACAGACACACGTTCACGCACATACATACAGCCACAGACAGAGTTATTGGTTCAGTTAGCAGAGTTATAGCGCGGACACAGGTACATAATGATACTTCAAGGGTATTATGAGGCAGATACTGTGGAAAGAGTAAGACAGCAGGACCGTCAGAAGAAGTTTTTGATTGGTACGGTAGTATCATGGCCTTCCATACTTTGTGTATGATAAAACATTAAAACATTTCACGGTTCGCGTCAGACTCGGCTAGGGCCTGAGTTTTCCGCATCCGTAGGAACGCCACCACCCTTCAAAGACCAATGTACAGATGCAGCTCCTAAAGCGGTGGGAGGTGAGTAGATCAGCTCACCAGCAAGTGGTCAAAGACTGAAAATCCCATTCACTGCATCCATGTTTTCCTCGTGCCAGGCCACGAGTTCCCAAATTAACTGTGGGTCGCCGCACGGCTGGAAAAACTTCTTCCATTTCCAAGCAGGATTTGAACCTGGCACCCTCTGTTTCTCAATCATGGTTTTAGACCATCCCACTATGCCTGCCTGCTATGGCGGGTGATATGGCGGGTATAAATGACCTCCACAGCAGTAAACACGTGTTAGTGGCCAAAATGTTGGTACGGCAATGACCTGACCAACCGGACTGGCTCCAGCGGGTCTGGATAACATTCTACACCATACTGACCCGGGCAACCACACCAGGTGGTGGACAGTGGAGACACTAGCACATACGCATATAGTTGAGCAGAAAACTAACACATCGCAGGAGAGAGAACTGGAGAGTGAGCTTGCAGGAATGTACTTGAATACACCACAAAAGCCCAGGCGTACCAGGGGCGGATCCAGCAATCTATACAGGGGGTTTCCAGTTTAGTCAAAACTGAATAGCTCATGCGTGTACATGCATATGTTTCCAGTAGTAAATTTACGAAATTTAGGGGGTTCTGCGGAACCCCTGGAACCTGTCCTGAATCTCAAACCCACTCTCCCAGCAGACCTCACCAGTCAAACGCACATTATCATAGTGACACTACTTACCTTGTCGACCTTTGAACTTGACTTGGATGTACTTGCCGAAACGACTGGAGTTGTTGTTCATGAGCGTGCGTGCATTGCCAAATGCTTCCAATAGTGGGTTGACCTGTCACAGTGTGGCAAATAAGCAAAGCATAGCTCTAAACTAAAAGCACGTTGAACAGCTCTAACACTTCATGATGCCCTCTTGTTGATTAGTGCCCCCCTCCCCTTCCCCTTCTCCCCCCCCCCCCCCGGATCTTGTAACCAAGTGCACGTGCAAGCCTGGCGTTGCTTGCTAATGTTCTTGTGTCATTACACTGGCGCCGTCGTGATATCAGGATTGATTGTGGTCTTCTTTGCTGCCTGTTTTTTAATGCTGGATGCCGTAAATGTACCAGCATTGAAAAACGGTACCCTCTCTTGAATCGTGCCCTATCCGTTTTGGACTTAGGAAAAAACACTATGGCCAGGGGGGGGGGGGGGCTGCTTAGGGGGTACAAATCACGCAAGTATGGCATCCACTGCATTCATTTCCAGCCTTCACCTGTTGAAGAATATTTATACAAAAGAGAATGACCAAGTAGTTCCTTGGTCTTTCTCTGTTGTATAAATTAAACCTTGGCTCTCCATCTGCAGAATATTTCTAAACGATCAGTGACATCAACAGTATGTATTCAGATGGTGAGCCAAGGAGAATAATAAATTGAAACAAGGAAAACAGTGGGGCACAGCATCCGACCGAGCAGTGCTCAAGCTCACTTCCTTGCCGTGGAATGTCTCAGCACTCCTTGTCAGTCTGGTGCTACCTTGTGCACGTCTGACTGTTCAAAACCTGGTTTAGATGGTGGACTCTAACGCATAACCTGTGCCCCGCCGTTTTACTTGTTTCAATTTGACATCCACAGTACTTGTGATAACCAGTGTATGATGTGGTATCGTATTGTAGTGCGGTAGCTTAGGTGATCCGGTCGCAGCATCGTCACTCAGTGGGAGTACGGGAATGTACAACCTTTGTACTCTTGTTGCATTCTCTCCCCCCCCCCCCCCCTCACCCACCCTGTCCGTTAGGGGAAGTGTGTAGTGTTACCAATGCTTTCCAATTGTCAGCCCCTTGTCCCGATGATGAGCCCTCGTCCCGATGATGAGCCCTCGTCCCGATGATGATCTCTTACCATGAGTATCTTCTGTTCCAGGCCACTGGCAGTCTTCTGTGGGCAGAGCTGAATGAGATGGTTGATGAGAAACTTCGTGGACTCTGTCTTGCCTGCACCAGACTCACCACTACATAGATCACAGTAGACAGAAGCACAACATGTAGGTGACATGTTCTGTAAGTCCATAAAATTAATATTCGGCGCATATATCTTCGTCTATATCCGGCCTGGTCATGTCTGGCCGGAAATTTGCTGCAGCCGAAATTTTGTTCTGCAAGGTTCAGTGTGACAGTGAATGGCGGCAGGAGCAGTACAGGCCGAAAAGGTAATGCGGCCGAAATGTGTTTTGGTCCTGGGAGCCGGAGGCCGAAATTTGAATGAGCCAAAAATTAGTAGACTAACAGTAGGTGATGGCGTGTATACAGGTAGGTCATTTTGGCAATAAACTAACTTGAGCTATGTTCGCAAAAAGAGCAATTTTTCTCAACCTTTCGTAGCCATTGTTGTTGTCATTGAGGACTCGTATTCCTCAGGTCAGTATGTCATGTACAGTTTCTGACAGGAGACGTTTGGTCAGAAAAGGGTTCATCGAAGTCCTCAGGTTTAGAAATCACTACAGTATTTCCCTCAAAATTGACTGCTTCACATGAATGGAACAAGATAATTATAATAATTATACTCTTCCATGCCCACCGGCAATTATGCATTAGTTACCACAGGCGCTCAAAGTTTGCAAAGGCCCTGCTGAACCAGGGGGCACCTGGTCCCCCCCTTCTAGGGGAGTGCACGGCCGCACGTGTGTAGGATGGCTGGTGCATGTCATTAATGGTCATTACGTCACATTTTCGTGCATGCTGAACCTAGGTAGGAGTTTCTAGAGGGATGCGCGTACCCCTCGTGCCCCATGATGGCTACACGCCTGATGCTGTAAGAAATATCTAAAGTCTTCTCGCAGGGGCGTAGCAGCCGGTCCAGCCGGTCCGGCCCAAGCCGGACCACCTTTTTTAACACAATGCCAAAAGTGCCCAGAATGCAGGATTTTGCACCCTATTTTCAATTGTGTATGGGGGAGATCCCCCCCCCCCCCCGGACCACCTCCAACGGCCGTACTACGTGCCTATCTCAGGAGGCACACCTGCCTGCTGACACCGCAAATATACTACTCGTCACCCACAGATATGCATACGACAGGAGCTCAAAATTGGCAAACCCCGCTGCTATGAGAGGCACTCAAAGTCTGCTCAGTGTGCACACTTGCCTGATAACACAGCACTGACTACGGCCAGACTGAGACATAGCACAGTAGCATGACTCGGCAATGGCGTAGATATGTGGAGATGGCTTGACTCCAGTACACAGGCCACAGTAGAGACTGGTCACCTACAGTGATAGAACACAAAGGATAGGCGGAAAGAGTTTTTCATTGCTCCGGCCACACTGGGTGCGTTCGATTACGGCCATGAATCGATTCGTGAACGGAATCTTTTTTGTTTGTTTTCATGTTATGAGCCTTGGAATCGGTTCGGAATCCATTCACCTTATTCACATGGGGTGATGCAAATAGCCAGGGGCGATTCATGACTGGATTCAAAATCGATTCTCGGGCACAATCGAAAGCACTCCTTGTAGCCGTTCAAACTTTGTACGTGATACGGTGGGTACCTTACTTCCTCGCCAGTCAACACAAGTTGGTGACCATAAAGCTGGTCGGGCCATGGACGGACCAAGTGGACTGGTTCGGCCGCCCGTGACACACAGCACGGGTACTGTGGAACACGACTAAGAAGATCACTGATAAGAAAAGCTCTGGAATAATTTAGAAGACCTAGTGTTTGTGACGCCTGTGATCTACTTTCAAGAGACCAGCTGGGTGGAGCTGACTGCCGTTGCTACATCATACAGCTTCACGGTGCGGGCTTCAATTTTGTTGTACTTCAAGAAGCGTAAATCTTAGAAAGGTGGCTTCAACATTCAGATAGAATGGAAGTTTGAAGACCCAGGGCTGCTCCTTGGAATTGATAATGAGTCAAGCTTAAAGTGATGGGCCCATTTGAGCGATCACTGGTTACGAGTACATGTGTGCATCATGAGTTACGAGTGTATGTGCCAGTGGGTAGGGTATGGTGAAAGCGAGGCCCGTGACAGCTGCTGGTCCATGATCACAACTGCCTTTTCTTGGGGTAGAGACTGTAATTAACAGGTAATGGATGACGTCATTGTTTGATTAACAGCCTAGTAACAGGTAATACATGACATCGTTCTGTAACTAACAGGTAATGTATGACGTCATTCTGCATCTAACAGGTAATGTATTACGTCATTCCTAACTCACCTCACTGCCATACAGGTCGAGTTTCTTGAACGGGTTGACAGCCACCAGGATATCACCCACATATGTCTGAAGAGCAGAGCACACAGCATTCAAAACACAATGATCATACACACACACACACACACACACACACACACACACACACACACACACACAACAGTTGCGCTCGGTCAAATCCGACCCAGAGTGCATATATGGCGCCCTCAACTAGCACGCTCTTGACGCCCTGGAAGTGGCACGAATGCGGCTGGATGTACAAAAATACAATGATATAATCGGAACTAGTCGAGGGCCGTAGGGCGCCAGCTTTGCACTTTACACCCATACATTGATGTAGTAAGCATAACAAGCTATGAAACCGAGGGGTAGAATCCTAACCCATGACACAACCCAGATCAGCGACGGCATAGCCTCGGGGATACGATAAGTCATGCGAATACCCCTGTGAAACTGTAGGATCAAAACAAAGACACTGAATTCTTGGTGGCCATCATGACATGTGAACTGCAAGAATTTCCTACTGTCCCACACTTTGTGTGAAGACCGGTACAGTACTGTCGGACGCCGAAGAACGGCCAGGCTAGAATTTCACCAATTTTCAAGAACGGTGTAGGCTGGACATTTTGCAGACAAGAACGGAAGCTATAATGTACACTCAGACGTTAAACTCTGCATAAATGTACATGCAAGACTGTACCCCTCCCCCCTCCCCTCCCCAGGTCTTCGGCACCCGGCAGTACTGTCTGGATCAGACAAATCCAAGATGGGAAAGATGTCCACATGCATCTATCAGTCCTGCTCCACATGTAACCGCCTGGGGCTACAATGACAAAGGGGTACCCATACAGAATGTATACCAGATCAATAATTATCGTATCAAATTATAAAATGTATGCGTGTGTTGTCCAAAGTAGGACAGTCTCGGTCAAAGCAGCACAGTTAGACACGGATATACATGCTGCTGAGGTTCGGCCTCATTTTCTCTGTGCTGCACTGATGAGTCCACAAAGGACGAAAAACGTTCTGTCCGCAGATTGAGCATGTAATAGACAGCATATAGAATCCTTTATCTGTTTAAAGAGGGCTTAGTGAAGAGTGATCACACTTCGTGAAATAATGTGAAACTCTGAGTTTCAACTAGGAGTCTCAGCAATAATCTCGTTCTACCGTGTGTGTGTGTGTGTGTGTGTGTTCGTGTATGTGTATGTGTGTGCGTGTGTGTGCGTGTGTGTGTGTGTGTGTGTGTGTGTGTGTGTTTATGTCTTTATGAACATGTCACATCACAGGATGCTTTGGAAATCCGCAAAGGATGTTCATGTAGATCACTACATGTCGTGTTTCTCACGCTATGGCTTCAGTTCAAGCCAATCGCTGTGCTTGAGAAGCCAACCCTGCGTTCTCCGCAGATATACTACTTCACAAAGTATATTGGTCTTAGCCGACCAGCGTTCTCCGCTATACATTCGGCCGATCACAGAGCTGGTCCAGGACAGGACATGCATGCTTTGCAGCAGAATGAAACGTAGCAGAATGGCGCGCAGCAGAATGACTTACGTAAATCCGATCTTCAACGTATCTCGTACGTAGGTTTTCGAGCATCGACGCCTCGTCAAGATGCATTAGGGACGCTAGATCGTCCACTGTTTCCGCACTTGGCGGGTCATTTTCAGCCATAACGATTGTGTTTTTCAGTGGCTACATGTATACACAACAAAATACTCGTTTCGAGCAATGGCTCACAAATCTATCATGAACCACATTGTCGGCACAGTTGGATGGTTCAAACGAGCAAGCACGATGCGGTCTTCATCACAAACCTGATACCGGACACCTGGTCACTGAATTGAAGGCCTTTCCCAATAACACAGAATGAAAGGAGGGCGCTCCCACATAAAAAAGGAGCGTAAGTAATTAGTTTCTCACTGGACGATTTCCAAATCTCGGAATTTCTCGGGCCGGCGGTCTATGCAAGAAAAGAGCCAAATGAAACGCCAAGCTCATTTCAAACCTTTGCCGTCACATGAGGAGTGCGTGTGGCCACGAAGCCTGCACGATTTGTGTGTGCGTCTGGCAGTCTGCAGATAATTTTGTAGAATGATTTTCCGATTATGACGCGGTGCCAAAGTTCGGCAAGTGAAAAATGGCCAAACAAGGTGCTATGTGCGTTGAGTGTGTTCATGGCGTTTGACGTGGGCGCATGGCGATTCCGTGCCTTCTCTGAATGTGCCAAAATCCCCAGCATGCTAGCATGCATTGTGATGCAGGCCAGTTCAAAATCAGTATAGTGTAAGGACATACACTGATACAGCATTACAGGTGCTCCTGCTAGTTAGTATTAGAAGAGGACTAGCAGGCTGCATACCTGCCAACCAATGAACCATCCCGATTTGGCCGGGACCGTCCCACTAATCAGTATCGAGGGTGGTAATAGGCACCCAAAAGTGTATTAATTTTGTCGCTTGCCTCAGCTCACAGCTCCATTTTGTACACATTTTTATACCTATGGTGAAAAAGAAAAGGAGAAGGGAACAATGTTAGGAGTTATGATTAACTGTCCACCAACGTAACCAGAGCTTATGTAGTCAGCGAGTGCGACAAAAAGGCACAAAACTGACAAGGAGTACTGAGACATTCGGCGACCTGATACCTAGCTCCAACACTTCTCCAAGGCGCAAACCACCAACTTTTCAACTTGGAAGGCTCAGATTCGGAAAGGTCCAAAAGTGGAAGGAAAGCGCAACGAAGAAGAGCACGAGCTTACGCCCCACGGGCCACGGCAACAAGAATGCCGGAAGTTACTGGATGATGACGAAACTAGTAAGACTATTGGACATACCGGCCTTACTACAACTCGACAACGCAAAGCAACAGACGACCCAACTAACTTGGGAGGCAGTTAGTCATAACTCGTAACATTTTTCCTCTCCTTTTCACCATAATTAATTGGCTCACCATCCGAGCTCAATTTTTAAACCTAGGTATAATTATCGATCTCCCGATCTCAGTTTTGCAAAGGTTGGCACGTATTGACTGGGTTGGAGAGAAACAAATTAGCAGAAGCCTAGTTTCGATTTGGCCTTTCGTACCATTAGTAGGTCCATTCTCAATACTCCTTGGCAGTCTGGTGCTAAGTGCTAACTTGTCCTCGAAAAGTCTTTTTTACTGGCAAAATAAACACATGCAATGAATATTTTTTCACAAGTTTCCCACACAACTTCAACTCAAAGTTCTAGAAAGAAAAGCGCAAGAAAACGCAAACAAGGCGAAACAAACCACAACAGCATGTACATGTAGGTAAACAGCAGTAAGTACTAACTTGTGCACGTCTGACTATTCAAAATCTGGTTTGGTTGGTGGACTCTAATGCAGTAATTGTGCACCACCGTTTCCCATATTTTCCATAATAATTATTATAATGAACCGTGGTAGTTAGGACAATGTGGAGACTAAAGAGGATTATCACTCTCTTAGTATTGATTCCCATTGACTATCGCTATACCTAAGCAGTCAAATATTCCTGCATATTTCACTCCTTGGGGCTATATTGACTGCTTACAGTAGAGTCGCGCGCCCAAGAACGTTGTTTCCAAGGGGTTAGTTATGGGTTGCGCAGTTGAACGGGGCCTAGTGCATGGTCACTGTACGTTTTCGCGAGCAGCATGGAGTATCCCATATATGGTCGTATGAGTAGGTGATGGTGCAACGGTTGTGCAATCATAAGGTAAACGTTCTGGAAATAATTGAAATAAGGACTGTTTGTCGTGATAAATCTAATATTGACCTCGTACTTGGTCAGTATAGGAAATAGAAAACCTCGCCTTCGCCTCGGTCTTTTACTCGGCTTTTATTTCCTACAATCCAGTCCCACAACGATCACCTTGTCTTCACCCCACTGAACTGTACCTTGCTCCCTAGACCTCTCGAATCACCTCAGTGCAGAATGTTTTGCGTAAAATGTTTATTTCTTCTCTTCTTTCCTTTTTCCTGCTTTTCGTGGCCCCTTTCTCGCTGATCCAGTGCCTGCACACTACTCTGCGTGGCAGCAGCTCCGATCTAACTTCTCCGTTTTGCCCCCCCCCCACTGAAAGCAACGCAGCTGTTGGTCCATTGCCATAGTTTCCTGAACCAATCTGGTACTCACTCACTCACCCTCACTCACCCGCCCCCCCCCCCTCTCTCTTCCTCTCTCTCTCTCTCTCTCTCTCTCTCTCTCTCTCTCTCTCTCTCTCTCTCTCTCTCTCTCTCTCTCTCTCTCTCTCTCTCTCTCCATCATTGTCTGGCTCTCAGGTTCTCACTCTTCACACACGGTCTTTCTTCTCTCCCTTTCCCCATGGTGCGTGATGTGCGCCTTGATCCTGAGACCATTGGTCGGGGGAGCGCACTTCACCTCACCGGCACAGCTCAATAGCACCTACACGCCCATTGTAGTCCCCTATGTTCTCTTGATGTTGTTGTTGTTTTTCTCTTCCATTCTATATGTAGGCATGTGCACTTTCATAAAAAAAATTATTGACCTCGTACTCAGTCAAGTCAGTAAAACCTGTCAAGGCGACCACCTATCCAAGAATACCACTGAAACCAGGATCAAGGGATGCTATTTCCAGTCAAATGACCCTGGATAAGGAGACCACCTGGTAACAGAGACCGCGCTCTTTGTAGGTCCCTTGAGCGGTGGCATGAGACAGGTTTCACTGCACTAATTATTTACCGTAGTTCCGCGCATATACGCCCATGGGCTTATATGTGAAATAATGCAGTTTGGAGATAAAATATCCAGTAAAACATGTTCGTTTTTTAGCCCATGGGCCAATATTCGAATTTTGAAGGTTCACGAAAAAGTACAAGTCCGTGCTCACAGTGTGTCTACCATACTCTACTGGTAAACTGCACTGACCTGCTGTACCGTCCATGGTAGGAAGAGTCCACATTGTGAAAAAGTCTTGTTGACACGCGAGTTGCATTTGTGTCTGTTTATAAGCCCATGGGCTTATAAACGGAGGTGGGCTTATATGCGGATATAAGCCCGTGGGCTTATCACGGGCTTATATGCGCGGAATTACGGTATGCTGATTATGCAGTCACTGGTTTGGGTTCCATTCATCCTACATGACATTGTATTTCCGAATACCTTGTCTTCACAATTATATTACCGTCGGAGTCGCAACATCTTACTTGGTATTTCAGCACTCGGTAACCGATAAGAGAGAAGTACTCTGGCTCAAGAGAGCGCTTCATGCTCATAACTGGTAATAATGATAATGCTCATAATATCAGAGCAAATCCATACACGTGTCACATGTCATATACATAGCATTTGAAGAATATTCATGATGTACAGAGTGCACTTTAATGCCTAGTTTGGACCAACACAGAAGAGGCATAATCAGCATTTTCGACTAAGACCACACACATGCACAGTCGTGGCCCGTAAGCAGCCAATTTCCGCGATTGTGTTCATCGGCAACATGGTGTGAATATTATACAGTTACAGAAGAGCACACGATTAGAACTGTACAGTTACGGCTCTCTAATTATCTAGTCACTGACTGGTGGGCATAGGTCATCCCTGAACTGCTCTTGCACAAACGGACGGATTTCTTTGTGCAAGTACTGGCGACGAGCTCTGCTCATACCTCCATGTGCAATGACCGGTGGTAAGCCTGCATCTTGCACTGCCTGCACGGTGGTCTTCAGGATGTCAACAGAGTCAATGTTTCCGCCAATGCACTTCAACCATTCCTGGTGTGGCAGCAGCGAAGGTGAAGTGGTGCATCTGGCTCACGGCTGGGATTGGCCGGAAGAAGTCGGGCAGGAAGCGGTCCCACTCGTACCAGGTAATTGTCGACCCAAATGGAGCGGAACGATGATTCAGCGATGATCTCAACTTGGGCTGCCGCGCAAGATTCCTTGTACAAGGCATGTACGCTCTTGTATGTTTGGGTAGCAGGCAAGAACACTGGAGGAGCATCATCACGTCCACGCAGCGGGGCTGGATGCGGAATGCCGTTGACTTCTGCATGGTTGGTGATGAACTGAACGCATCTCTTCACGTTAGCGTACAGGAGCGCATTATGTGGTCGCCTGCCTGTATTGCCATGGTCCCTGGGCACCAGTCCGCACCAGTCCGTGTTTCTCCAGGTGCTGCTGCAGACCATACAAATGCTTCTTGCCGATGTCGTACGCGTAGCGAAACGCACCAACACACACCTCGACACCCTGGAAGCTGTAGGCGAAGGACTCGCGGCGACGCTTTCCCCCATGCGCGTTCTGACTGGTATTGTGGCGGCAGGACTCCAAAATTCCCAATAGCACGGTATCGCTCTCACTTTTCTCCATTTCCCTCATGTTTAGTGTTGACTGCTCAAGAGTTACTCTGTCAAACTTACGGAGGCAGTTCTTGCTGCATCCACAATTCTGGAGCTGAGCAAATTCAGGTGCAGGAGGAGCAGCAGCAGCAGGGACGTTCTCCACTATTGCTTCGTCTTCCACTGTTAGATTTTCTTCATCAGCGATAACTCCAGCCTCATCAGAGTCGCTTTGAGGCTCTACATGCAGGTAGTTCGCTGTTACAACATCGGAGTTCACCCTGGAGTTGAGGTAGTGGAGTTAGTCTGCGTCGTCAGTGTCAACTATGTTACTTGCGATTCTACGCCCTGTTCAGCAATTTCCTGACCAGAATCTTTGAAGTGCTTTTTGACAGCTTCAAGTGCAAGTACGTTAGCCCCCTTTTCGCGTGCGCTGGCTCATATTGGATACCGCCGACCATAGTTTTGTTACAAACATGCTGTTGGTTGGCAGCATGTTCCAAGGCGGAGGACCACTGTGTTCGGAAACAAAGACCGTGGATGGTTGTAGAAAGGTCACTTTTTTCCGAACACAGCGGTCCTGCGCCTTGTAACATGCTGTCCAACAACAACATGTTACGTACATGTGTAGCTCCTCGCTTATCGGCTGTTGCCATTGGCACCATGCCCATGAGCAATCACCAGACAAAACTGCTGCTGATCTCACCCAAGACTACCAACCAGAGGAAAGAGACAGCTTCAAGCGGATACCAGTGGGACATTCCAAATGCACATGCCCTGGCGGTAATACGACTATGAGGTGAAGGAATCGAGGGGTGGGCACATGTGTGGCTTCGCACACCCAGGGATAGGCCCCGGCGAAAATCCCATATCATGTAAGAATTTGCTAGTTTTCTGCAAACCTTGCCAGATCATGCTAGCACAATGCTATATGTAGTTTCCAGAAAGTGCTAAATATGCTACTTGTAGATATAATGCTAGCATTATCCGCCAGGGCCTGGCTAGGGAACAAGCGTCGAACAAGCATGGCGCTCGTGTGGACGCGTGGTAATTCTAGAAAGTGATGATGTTGCCTGAAATTTTATTCCAGTGGATGATCCATACCAGTCTTAGAGTAACACACAATGGTCCCGGTGGTACCTCACCACCGATAGTTTGAAATGCGGCAAGTGAGATTGATGTTCCTCGTAAGGCAAATCGGGTTAAATTTGATATCCGTAAAGAAACCCGATAGTCAATGGAATTGCTATGTGGTCATCCAGATATTCAAATACGCTCAACGAAATTGGTAGGAAAAAGGCCATGTTTTCCATTGCAGTCACCAGCTGCCCAGCCATCATCAACGTCTTCAACATTCGTGATGATGTCACCATCATCGAAGGACAGTTCGTCGGCATCACCTGCAGTGTAGTCATAGAGCAGCGCCTTGACAGTTTTGGTACCGCTTGTGGAAGTATCCTTAAAAGCATCTGAGAAAAAGAAGAAGAAAACGTCAAGTAGGAAATGAAGTTCAGGTCTCGGCCGCAGATGAAAGTACTGAATCCATGAAACTCTGATTAATGGGAGTGCATCCTCCTTCGTGTGGGAGCACTCTTTGTACGGAGTAGATTGGACTAAATTGTGATGAACAGGCTGCACTTCTGAATGTCTCATAAAATAGATCGGGAAAGTTTTAGATTCATCATGTTGCCCAAATCTAGCCTGAAGGAAAAACTCACCAATTGAGAACTCTACACAGCTAACTGGGAACATTCCACAGTCTCCATTTGGCGAGATTCCCGTACACCCGCCATCGTCCGTCGCATTAACAATTCGGACAGCATCGCCAGGTGATAAGGATATCTCGTCACTTTCCTCTGCATAGTGGATTGAGAAGAATAGAAGAAAGCTCCCGAAAGTCTCATAAACCTTAGAAATATCAGACATTCAAGGCATCTTTGTAATAACAATATATCGTGGCTCAAGTCTGTCATTGCAAAGGCACTGTTCCCTTAAAACATGTATGGAGTTATGGTAATCAACGTGATGCCGGCAACAGTGCTAGGGTGAACCAGTGTCACCATTCGACCATGTCTAACCACATTCATGGGCATCCTAGTGTTCACGTCTGGTGATTTCTAAGTTTCCTATTCGACTCGTGCCGAAGTATTCCTGGGGCAGTGAAAGGCAGCACGGATAATCGATTAGTTGTTACATCTCTGAGTTCAACGACCACCCAATGTAAACAACCTTATCGGAGACAGGAAACTTGATAGGGAACGAGAAACTACAAATTTCAAACTCTTCACCAACATTACCAATGAGGACTCAGAAAATCCAGAACCACTTTTCGGGAAATCTCTTCAAGTGGAATACAATTAGAAGCAGATAAAACCAATGAAACGAACGGATAAACGGCATCACCAGATTGGTAACCATTATCACGTAAGTGATAAACTATCTGTTTCTGTTTGGTTTCTTTAGCATCTCCTTTACTTGTAGTATCACACTTCCCACTTCCTCTTTTCGTTTCTCTCCTCTTGTTCATTACAATTACATCTTCGCTAAAATTTACGGACTGGTTATGGAATTTCTGAGCCCTCGTTGATGATGGTGGTGACGAGCTTGCAATATGAAGTTTTCTTTACCACCCACTAAGACAATCAGCCCGTGAATTCTAGTGGCCTCGCATTTGCAGTGGTCCACATACATGTATGCACATGTTGCTGCTCAGTAGATCTACAATTTGCCGGGCGACACAACACTCATTTGTTCATGGCTCTCTGCTGGCCTGACTGTTGTCTATCTAGAGCCAGTAGGGCTCGGGGAGTCTTGAAATATTATGACATTGACTCAACACAGTACTCCATTATTCATACGTTTTGAGGGAGTTGAAAACAGGAAAAGTCTGAAGAACAAATTGACTGCCATCTGTCTGACCACTAGGACTCGAACCAGGCACCCTCACTTATGGCCAGCGATACCCTATACCATTACTAGTCTATGATATAGTCTGCAATACAGTAGTACTCACTGGCATGATAGTGGTGCAGTGCACGAAAGGTGCTACCCTTGCTTGGAGGGTCAGTCTGTGAGAGAACGAATAAAGATTGAAAGAGCATTGCCATCGTCCTGGAGAACGAGGTCGCATTTCTAGGCCTGAATAAAGCATGGATCAGAGTTGAAACCGGTGAATCAATACTAGAGTCTAGACCATAGTATCTACGTCGGTCTACTTGGCTTTGAATCAAAAATCCAGTGCCACTGAACAGAACCCTAATACCACTGTACTAAACTTCAATTCAGCCACGTGCACTTCACATGGTACCATAAGAAGTGGTCTTAATCTCGTTTGCTGCGAAAAATTGCCTTTCTCTGCTAGTCTCATCTAGCTGGTATGTGAGCGATACAGGATGATGACGTTACCTAGAGGAGAGATGTTGTGTTTCGCACTACAGAGACTATGCAAGTTTATGATTCTGATCACCTTTTTCTGTCCAGTTTCGCTTGAGTGGTTCTGAGTCCTTTTCACTTCCTCGTTGGTGTTGGGCGCAGGCTGAGAGATCACCGGCTGGCCAATGCTCTCAAGCCATGGCCTATAACGGGCCTGGAGTTGTTCAAGCTCCTTCTTGAGCTCACTGAACCGTTCACACGCTGCCGTTAACTGGCTACGCAGAGCTGCCAAATCCGATCCATTCCGGCCCTGGTCCATCGGCATTTCTGATTTTTTTCCTGCTGGATACCAATATCACAGAATGAAACAGCGAAGACGTTTTAAAGATTCATGAGTTGGTAGGTTTTCGTGCGCTTAAGGTAGCTCATGCCTAAATAAAATTTCCGAACGTTTGCACTTTAGACTGTTTTAATTCCATGCTAGAGGTGTCCGGACTCAGAAAATCAATATATTAAGGTACCTATTGGGACACTTTGGGGTTGTAAGCGGCAGTCAAAGGTCAGCAAATGAGCGATATTTACCGAAATGTGTCAGATTTGATAACACGTGTAACATTTGCAACAAATACATGATACTGGTTCAGACTGGTGTGAGCCGTGGTGTTCACACAATAATTTGGAGAATGCTCCGTGGTTTAGTTGCTTGCGCCTAGAAAATAGCAGACCTAGTTGATGGCCAAACTTGTCGCTCTCCCCTCCAAACTATGTGCATGTGAAACAAAACCCATCACTTACACACTTGGAAATGGTCAGCCAGGCGTAGGTTTCCAGCCAGTAGCAACTGAGCCAGCCTTATGTGCTGGCCACGTGCTTTCATCGCCAAGAAGCCATACCCGTATGCATGGACTGGTAAACCTCCTAGGTGGTCGGAAATGGTGCTGCAGTAGCTCAAACGTCTCCTTTGAACTTAACGGAAACTGGCAACTTCGGCCACGAGTCCTGCGCACCAGCCACTGTCTTTGCACTTCTCCCTTTTTCCAGGTCATCCAACGTTCACAAAACGCCGGCATCGTCAACCAGATGCTGAAGATGAGTACCGGCTTCATGTCGCGCTGCAGGTTCCAAAGAATCACCTTCTACAAGACAACCGGGACCATCCTCGGGTGACGACAACTCTTCCAACGTTCCCGACTAATATTGAGAGTCAGAGATTCTCGGAGGGTCCACACTTTCGGTCTGCCCTGAAGCGAATTTGTCGCCAGAGTCGACAGAATCGGGCACCGACACAGAGTCACCGCTTGAAGAGTTGTCTGAACAACCGCCATCATGACGCTTGGAAGAAGTCGCTGAAAACAAATCTCCAATCTTCGCTTGGTGAAATCGCTTCACACATGAACCTAACACACTGACAGAACTTGGAAATTGGTGGCGAAGAATAAAAAGAAAATGGAAACAAACTGAAAGCTTTCGAAACAAAAGGACTGTGACTTTCCGACTTCGATTTCGACTCCGGTTTGGCTAGTGCAAAATGTGGATGTGAATCCGCACTGCACCGGTGCTGTGCAGCACTGTTGCAATTATGTGGTTCATACAGCTAACGCGAACAGCGGTTCAAAGAAGTACAAGCCTATCCTCGAGCTTCACAAATAGACTATAGATGTCCTACAAGGCTACTTGGTCCGACTTATTAAAATGTGCGCTTCGCTTCAAAACTCAAGCATATGTAGAAACTCGTTCTCTACACTTGCGATAATTTAGCGGCAATTCTAACGTTGTAGCGTTGTTCTCTTGTAATTTAGTGGAACCTGTATTGAGTAACTGAGTTTTATGTTTCGTTACATTGTCGTCAGATCTCCTGTGTACCGGTTTTGTGGCACAATGATTATAGCCATTATATTTGGTCGTCTCCATTCTTGTGCAATCATGCGTACATGTATGTAGGTTGGTTCTCTTCATGTTATTGTGACCAATTTCATAAATGTTGGTTGCCTTGTTGCTTTCTCTCCCCTCTCCTCTCACCCAAGCCATTCTGCATAAGCGAAGCTGTGGACGCAGCATACTGCTGCTACACTTCAACGCGGGAATGCGTATAATAATAATAATAATATGTAGAAAGGAGCACCAGTACTAAAAAATCAACCAAGAGACAGTAGATGGATCACTACTGTGTCGTTTCTTGGCCTGGCCTTCTAGTTTTCATCTCTGCTGGTGTCTCAGGGCGCATCTGCAAGTGCGTCAACCTGCAAAACGTCGACAGTTTTTTCATCTCCTCCAAGCCACACTGCGCTTCCTTAATTTTTTCACTCCATAGGCACGATTTAGGGGCGTTTGGTTGGTACGATCTAGAACAGGATCGAACAGCTGGTGCACATGGAGCAGCCTCATGCCAACCAAATGGTACTCCAGAAACAGAGCACATTTTTGTGAAAAAATGTGCCAAACTTGATGCGCGCATGTGCATTCTTCATAATGTGTATGGGTCACCATGGTCACTTTGTACGGTACAACGAATCCAACTCAAAATCGTATGCACGTGATCATTTGGGACCAAAATCGATGTTCCCGCCAGGTTTCACAGTGAAAAAGGGAAACTGCTCGGTCTGCTCCGGCCTCGAGGCCGGAGCAAGCAGAACATGTTCTGGCCGACCCAGAACAGGTGCAGTCCCAACCAAACGCGCTGTTCTGGTGAATCCTGTTCTAGTTCGTACCAACCAAACGCGCCCTTAGACGTTCGACTTCGCCTCCTCCTCGTGCAGTACGACTGCTAGAATGGTGGCTGTAGGTGTTTTTGCCTTTTTTTTCCTTCAAATGAGGCGAATAAGTTCACCACCGGTCACCATCACCACGCATAAAAAGATCACTTCTCATCACCGTGTGCCGCGCACGTAATGAGTCTGATATATCTGCAGTGCTGCCAAATAATTTTCGCCCAAAATCGGACACCCTTCACCGCCGAGGCTGGCCGCATGGTGTGAATTTTTTCTCCTCGGTAATTTTTTTACAGAGAATTCAAAATATCGCCTAAAATACCATGAAAATTCGCTTCGTTGCCATGGTAACCCCAGAATTGTCATGAATTTTGTAATGATGAGTGTGGTCGCACACTGACTCTGTACAGACTGTCAGTGTACATGCCATCCAGCCTGATCCAGGCATGTTACTTTGAACTTCCACAGCCAAGCGCTAGCCTTTTTAGAAGCAAATGTACAGTGTAGTGATTTGTGCCTTCAGTTGCGCTGAACGGTGAAAGTACAGGACTTCTGCATAGGAAAGTAATGATCTCCGACATTTTGGCTGCTTTTCGTATGTTTCCCTTTTCGGATCGGTTTTCGGAAGACCCTTCAAAAATCGGACAGTCTTAAAAATCGGACGGTTTGGCAGCACTGTATCTGCGTCGACGCGACATGACTGTCATGCAGTAAGACCACATTGTGTGCTCTTCCCTGCCTGTTTCACGAATCCACTGGCCCCAGAGACTCGCGATCTCGTGACGCATCGCGATCGCGGCTCCGAAGACTCCGCACCATTCACGCACCGTATCCGCAGGATATATCTATAATGCGCTTCAGTTTTCCTTGCAGGTTGTCGCTTGAAAGTCGACCTCAAGGGCGATTATTCATTTCGATCCACTTCTCGATCTCTTCTGTGATCTTGATTCGTCGGCCGCCACATCGTGAACGACTGCGAGAGAGATCAGCACACTGGATGGAGCGATGCTGGTGCTTTCTGCACGAGTTTCTAGATGACGCGTTTGCTGAAATTCTGCCAAGAAAACAGTGACTGCAGCGATTTCAATCCGCCAGGAGGCACTCGAGAATGATCGCCCAGGAGTTTCTGATACTCCGTGACAATTCCCCATCGCAGTGGGGTGTTGATTTCAGCACCAGGCCTTCTCTGTGTTGCGCGAGAAGCAACAGGAGTCTTCTAACGACAAAATTTGGACGCAAAATGCTCGAGTCGACTAGGATCCTGAGGCGCTGCCTCCTTTGGAGTTGGAGGCATTTCTTCTTCAACATCACAAATCGACAACTGAAGGACAGTGTTGGGTAGCTGGATAATTAATTCCGTCCTGAGAATATTTGAATTTGTTTGGTTGACGTTCGAAGCGAAACGCACATTTTAATAAGTCGGACCAAGTACATTACATGTGGATCCTGCGAACTCTTCTTCACTTCAGTGAACAGTACTCAGTAGAATCCAGGCATGAAGTCAGTGCCTGTACTGCCTGTAGACTTGTCCTGGATATGATAGTAGTACAGTGTATGTCGACAATCATGTTCTGGCCAACCACGTATGGATACCTGACTGCAAAGTATCCATTCTGGCTAAGCGCCTGCACACACACACACACACACACACACACACACACACACACACACACACACACACACACACACACACACACACACACACACACACACACACACACACACACACACACACACACACACACACACACACACACACACACACACACACACACACGCACGCACGCAGGCACAGAGGCATGAACATACACACTCATACGCACATGCATACACATACTGCTGCCAGACACACAAATGTTCCATCGCAAATTTGAATCACAACGTAGAAAAGAAAAAAATTGTCCGAGGTGGAAGAAAAAATAATTCAAAAACAAACATTGCACATTTGTGTCCACGTTTGGAGATTCCCTTACAGGAACTCACATGAGCACTAAAGCGCTCGTGCATGTGCATTTAGGTCTGATGAGTACATGTACGTATACATGCACGCAGTGGTACGATATCAATAGAGTTGAAGAATGCAACGCCGATGATACCGGTATTAGAGAGGTTAAGTTGCACGTTTTTTGCCTTTTTTCAAAACGCGGTGCAAATCTCACGTTACGTGTAATTTTTAGAGGTTAAAGGGGAAGTGCATCGATTTTTTCAAGTAGGGCTCAGATGAAAGACAATTGGATATCGGTTCCGATGGTATATCTCTCGCTTGCGTACGGCAAGGGAAACTTGCCATATCGCCGATTTCCCGATCCCGTTTCCATGGCGACTACAGGTGATGACGCACATTCTGCTTAGCTCCGTGAGAGAGAAGGTCGATCACTGCAGAATTGTGTCATTTTCAGTTGTCTTTTTGTATTCACGAAGTGAAAGAAGTACTGTGTTCAATGCTGTTAGTGCCGTGAACTGTTTATTAGTAGTCCTCTCCATTGTGTACTGGGACGTAACACCGACAGGGGAAAGCTGGAGTGCGGAGACGTTAGCTGGCAAGCGAAAATCGTGACGAACCAAGTGCTGAAATCTTGGTTGGGACAAATCAAACGTTCAGCATTTACCTCAACCAAGGACCATGCCGTTTGCTCTTTCCACTTCCTAAAGATGGATGCGCTGCCTGCTGGAGACTCTCCTATCTCTCGTAACATCTTCTGAAGCCAGGTGAGACGACGAGTAGCGGAGATTAGCGAACGAAATAATGTCGTATGTTTTGAAATTTTTGCTGATTTCTCAGGAGAGATGGCGAATACCAAGCATCTTCTCCTAGTCTAGAGAAACCATTTCGTAGGCTACATTCCGCCTAGGGGAATGCAGGAGACGGCCTGGCTGGGGAGGACACACTTGGAAGAGAACGAAATAAGTGATCTTGTTTATGTTGTTCTTTGGTATTGCAATCTTATGTTTGACGAACTTACGGCATGGTGCATAGTTGGTCGTTGAGTGCCTGCATGTGCATGTATAAGTGTAAACACTTCCTATGCAAGAATCTGACACTCATGCTCTGATTCTTTCTTGCAGTATGTGCGCACGCGTGTGTATGTTGTGTGTATGTGTGTGTGTGTGTGTGTGTGTGTGTGTGTGTGTGTGTGTGTGTGTGTGAGCGAGAGAGAGAGAGAGAGAGAGGGTGTGTGCAGGAGCAGCGTGGAGCATGCCAGTGTGATCGCTGTGGCCGTTGCTTTCTTAGCTATGGCGTTCTTGCCCGTCACAAGTGTGTGGCTCAGCCCCCAACGGCAGTGGAGCCGTGTTGTGGTGAATACCGTGTCCTGCGACCGCTGCTTCCGTTCGGTCCAGGGCAGGAATAGACACCGCTGCTGAAGCTCTCCACGGCCGTACGTCAGTCTCGTGGCAGATGACCCGAACTCTCATTTTGTGTGTGTGTGTGTGTGTGTGTGTGTGTGTGTGTGTGTGTGTGTGTGTGTGTGTGTGTGTGTGTGTGTGTGTGTGTGGTGTATGTATGTACGTGTGTTGCTCCCTACATAGACAAGCTCTTGTTTTTGTGTCCCGGGTGCCATGGGGCGGCGTTCTCCCATTCTCTCTCCACTGCCCCTCCGGGCCCACGTGGCAGTGACTCGACAGGGCAGGGCAAGTGTGTGTATGGTGTATGGTGCATGGTGTGTGCTGGCATGTCTGTATAAATATGTTGGACAGGAATTTGTTCACCCACAACGTTCACGGGAAACCATGCTAGGTGTTGCTGGAACGTATGGAGTCTGCGAGCACTTACAATAACTTACGTCATGTCACAACAAAGAACGGTGCAGTGTTTGACCCTCATGTAAACATGATGGTGATGGTACCTCACCTAAGCTACCCATGAAGCTAGAAAGAACATCAGGTCAACAGAACTGTACCAGAGGAAAGCATCTATTGCCCGAACTCGGCACCGGGTTTGGGAGAACTGTCGCTGCTGCTATTGCGGCGGCTGCTGCTGCCGCTGCTGCCACAGTCGTTTCCGCTGCTGTCGTCGCCACTGCCACTGCTGCTGTGGGCATTGTCGTTGCCGTCGCCACTGCCACCGTCACTGCTTCTGAGGACCTTGTCGTTGCCGCTGCTCTTCTTGGGTGGATTGAATTTCCATGTCCTGCAGTAGAGAGGCCGAGGCCAGAAGTTGGCAGAGGTCACAGTGGCCAGGCAAGCTGCATAGATGGTGACCCTGGCGGATACCTTGCCGCTAGCTGCCGTGTGTACATTGCATGAGTGGACATCTATGATGTTCCCTGTGGCTGCTACAGACCGGCGGTGCACAAACTCCGTGAGACTCTCCATTGTGCAGGTGCTGCTTAGGTTGCAAACAAACACTACTGCTCTCCGGCGTCTTGGTGGGGCTGCAGCGACCAGCTGCCAGCTGTCGTCATTTATGGCATCCACTTCCTCTCGCTCTGTGTTGCCAGATTCAGGTTCAACACTACCTGCAGCGGCCGGTAGGGTATCCTGGTTAGGCCCAGCATTGGCAGCAGTAGCACCGAAAACGGGCTTGACACTGACAGGCAGGAGTCCAGTATCCCCTTCATCAAACTCAGAATACTCCATTTCTGTGTCCCCAGAGGGCACTGTCTTGGTTGCGTGCCAGGGTGTGGCGGCGCTACGGGTACGGGGTTCAGTGTGGGTTCCCACGTGTTTTACCTGCTGGTTTGGCAGTTTTGCACTGTCACTTGCGCGTGGCTTTGACTGTCCAGGACTACTGGTACAGGTACTCTTACTCGTAGTACTGCTACTACCTGCACTCTTGGTCTCCTTGCCCCCCTCGCTTTTTGAAAATGGTTGCTTGACTGCCATAATTGCGGACTCCTTCAACAACTTCATTTCTTGCCTTATATCCAAGACCAGGCCGGCGAGCTTGTCTACTCTCCGCTGGAGGCGTACTTCGTTGTTTCTGGCCTCACTGACGAAAGCATTCAAAGTTTCCACAAGGCTGACCACGTTGTGATGGATTCCGGGAATGCTACAAAGTAGCTTCACCTGCTCCACGCTTGAGAGCTCACCCATGGCGCAAAGATTCTCGTTGTGCACAACCTAGCTACCTAAACTACACTGCCACTACTACTACTACTGCTACAACCTACCTACTTACCTCCAGTCCGGCCTAATGCCGGCTGGGCTGTTCAAAAGGTTTCAAAAACTGGAGCTCAAAAACGCGTACCCAACTCTCTGAAACTGCAGCGTGCAAAAAATGTCCAGCTGCAACACTATCAGCTCAGCCTCAAATTATTCTGTCCCGGGCTGATGACAAAATTGATGCGGGTAGACTTCTGTGCGCAATACAAACGTTACGCACAGCTTGAATTTCACTCACCCATTTTCCTCGACTTGGATCGTTTACCTCTAGCGCTCCTACCCGTACTCTGTTCACTTGAAGTTCCAAGTCTCAGGTTCTTTAGCCGCTTCTCCAACTTGTCCAACTCTCCTTTCCGAGAGCTCTCCCTGCGCTTCTTCCTCTTATTCGTAGCTGCCATCACTCAATCAAAATCTTTTCCGCTCACGGAGGAAACGACAACGCAAAGCCAAAACTGTTCTCTTTTTTTCCACAAAAAAAGTCGAAGCAAACAGCTACACAGTCATGACTCATGTACATTATTGTACTACTTTCGCGCGTAGATCTACTAACTACTATAGTATTTGAAAGTAGGACGGAGGCAGAAAATATTACAAAAAATGTATTATCTACGCATGCATCTACGCAAGAGTCACCACCAGCCAATTAGGACATGTGTCAAAGTATTGAACGTTTTCGTTCCCTTCTTGTCAAAATACTACAGGGAATGATGGAAATAAGCTAAAAGACTACAACTATAAGGTCGCGTGGTAGGTCTTTGTTACATCTTGCCGTGTTGGAAGCTTTGTACATACGTAAGTTAGACCCTGAGCTTTGTGTTCAGAAGGAGAATGTGTTGTCTTTGCAGTTGTTTGGCACTGTTCGTCGTGAAGGTGCGAAATAGATCTCTTGTTATTTCTCTCTTTTTCTTGTCACTACGTTTTTGTCACTTATTGGATTTGCATGCTGTTTTCTTGATTCTTCACATCTATTTTTTCGTGTCACTTCTACACATAATTGGAGTGATATATTTCTGAACTTCTTTTCCTTATAGTTGTAGTCTTTTAGCTTATTTCCATCATTCCCTGTAGTATTTTGACAAGAAGGGAACGAAAACGTTCAATACTTTGACACATGTCCTAATTGGCTGGTGGTGACTCTTGCGTAGATGCATGCGTAGATAATACTATAGTATTACTATACTTTAGTCTATAGTATGAGGAGCGAATCCGTGAAAATTAATAATAATTATTTTAAAATTGAGCACGCGTCATTTGTGCCGGTCGTCTTGAGTGCATCTGGAGGATTCGGGAAAGCGGCCAACTGCGCTCTACAACAGAGTTGCCTGTATGCTTTCGGACAAGAGAAAAGAGCCACCGTACTGGCCGGAATCAGGTCAAGGGTCTCTTTCTCTCTTGTCCGCTCAGCGAATGCTAGCCTCCGTGGACATCGCAAGGCTCAACCGAAATCTAACCGAGCTTTGGCTGACATTCCCGCTGTGCTGGCCGCAGCAGAATGCCACTTCTGATCCTCTGTTCTATTTTTCTTCTTCTTTTACTTGTGCTGCGTTCACGTTTGATCTTGGCTTTTCCATTATTATTTGCCATCGCGACCCCCGTAAGTCCAAATAACTGGCAGGGCGCTTTCCTCGCAACACAGTCATTGGGAGCGTGGGTGTGCTGTGCAGCACCTCTTGCCTCTTGGTTGGGGTACACCATCCAAGCCCATCGTATCCTTTCTCACAGTACACGCATGGTCAATGCACCGCCAATAATATCGTTCGTCGTCAGAAGCACGCTTATCAAGCCGATAAGTTTAACCACCTTGGCAGAATGCCGGCTTGCCCTTGGCTGTCACAAATCGGTTCAGTTCCATTTTTGAGAGTTAGCTTGCATAGGAAAAATTAAGGAAAATTATGGCCTATCCCCGAAAGTACTGCGTCTTTTATAGGGTGACTGGTGTACAAGTACATGGCAGTGGTAATACCCCGTACAAGTTGTCAACAGTCATTGATAGTCACTAATAGTCACTAATATAATTATTGGTGTCCGTACGTACATTAACATGTACGGCGCTGAAGTGCCTCCCGCGGAAAAAAGCTGCGCGGAAGAAATTGGCGCTGACATGTCCTGGGCTTTAAAATTTCGCGCTGAAATCATTGGCGCTGTCAAGACACCGCGCTGAAATGGCACCCAGATGAAATGCCTCGCGCTAAGGCGGTCGCGCTGAAGTGCACCGCGCTAACATGGACGCGCTGTCGCGGGAGGTTACCGACAGTACATGTGTTGGCAACGAGTTACAGACTGTCATTGAATTTAGAGTGAAACCTGTCTAAGACGACCGCTCAAGGGACCTTCAAAATGTGATCTCTGTTAGTGTTACCAGGTGGTCTCCTTATCCAGGGTCATTTGACTGGAAATAGCATCCCTTGATCCTGGTTTCAGTGGTCTTCTTGGACAGGTGGTCGCCTTATCCGAGTGGTCGCCTTGACAGGTTTCACTGTACGTGGAAACTGGTCTCATCGCGTTCGCGCTTGACGGCCCCGCACGCGCGATTTACGGAAGGTTCTTAAGGCTAACGGAAGAAGGTTGAGGTGGGTTTTGAGGGCTAAACCTGATTTTTGCTACAATTGGTGAGATGAGGGGCGGATCACACAGAAAGGACGAAGTGCTAGTGGAAGCGGGTAAAAATATTTCAGATACATAAAACAGTATAGATAAGTACAGTCATGTACGTGTACCAGTAGATCTCGTCTCCCATCCCCCGGCTGCACAACAGGTATATCTACTGAGTACTAGTACTACTAGTGAAAAGTTCTGTGAGGTTTGTCGCCATATCGCTCTCCTTCGCCTTCGGAGACGATTCGGATAACACAATCGGCAAGCCGCTCCCGGATCGACTTCTGTTTCATCGTTCTGGTTTGGTCCCTTCATGAAGTTGCAACGCAACACGCAAATCCGTCCCGGTAAACCGAAAGCTATTATTCAGCACTATGCTGATCAACGTGTTGAGACCTAGACGGTCGCCATAAGTTTTGCTCTCGGCTTCAAGATGGTTCATCGTCCTCGTCAAGAGCAGCGAAAATCAAGAGCATTCTTGTCTAAACGATTATTCCTTCAAAGCATGCCATCATAGCATCAACACGGCATAATGTGATTAGGGGTGTGCGGATAATGCTCGAAAAGGTGGCAGATTCTGCTCGAAAAGCAGTGAAATTGGCAGAACCATACAAACCTTATGGCGGGCAATTCCTCGAATTCTGCTCCATTTCTTTATCCACATACCAAACATGCATGAAACTTACCAGAAAAAGTACCGAATTCTGCCAATTTTTCTGCCGGCATAATCCGCATATGCCTAAATGTGAGTAAGCTTCCATGCCGAAAGCAGGAAAGGCGGAACGATCCGTGTATGTGCAAAGAGGCTAGCTAACACAGAAAACGGCCCAGACCAAGGCACGGACGTGCTTCTTGAACGTAGTACTGCATAAAGTACAAATTTTCGTTCACGAAATCTTTCGTTAGATCGCTCCACCAGCAGTCTCGTTACGAACTAAATTTCGTTTTTGTTCGAGGTCTGTCACCCCGAACGTTCAGAAAACAACTTTAGTTTGGTACAAGCTTTAGTTATTTCGTGCCCCCTAACATGTAACCGTTATGTACGGGTATTGCACATGTACATGTAGCAATGAATCAGTGCAGCTACAGCCTGTACAGGTACGCTTAGTCAACACCTCAAAGCACATTACAGAGGTAGACGTAATGGGAGTGCAACCCCTCGTAAACAACGCATTGCTAGAACGCACTCAGCGTGTATTGCGCGAGATTACCAGGCTAACAGTAACAGTAATAGGTTGCCTGGAGAATTCAGCACGGACGATTGCAGACTGCATAGTGAAAGGTTGAACGAACTACATAGATGCATAAATGCTCGTGCTAGTCCCCTACTTTGCCGACTTTTCACTCCTCGTGCTGTCTCATTATCCCGCACTGCTAGAATTACCCGTTCTCAGGAATTGCTCGGCCTGGTACTGCCCCATGCCAGATTGTATTTTGGCTATCACTCTGTATCTTATCTTGGAGCTGACCGATGGAACGCCCTCCCTGCCGCGATTCGCACCATATCCCTACCTGCTGCATTTCGCTCCGCTATCTTCACGTGGCTAGGGCACCCTGTAAGAAGACCATAGGTCTGTGGGGACTGCCCTAGTAAAATATGAATAAATAATAATAATAATAATGTGGAAGAGAAAAGGACATATGGATACGAGTTAAGAGTAACTCTCCATCACTGTAACATGATACTATATACAGTCAGAAAGTGCAATAACTAGGCACAAAACTGACAGAGTACTGAAACATTCGACGTCCTGACACCTAGCTTCAACACATCTCCGTAGCGCTAACCGACAGCCTTCCAACTTGGAAGGTTCAAGGTTATGGAATAGACCAAAGAGGGGAAGAGTTACTCTTAACTCGTATCCATATGTCCTTTTCTCTTCCACATTTATTTATGGCTCAACATCCGAGTTTCAAATAATAATAATAATAATAATGCTCGAAAAACGTCAGATTCTGCTGGGGTTTCAATTCTGCTCCGAAGGAATGCATCAGTTCATTGGTAACTGTATGATCTACTCGTACACAGCGGGATCATGATCATGATCGCGCAGTGCTCAATACCGCAAAGAAGGCCGAACGAGATTGTTGCAACTCGAGTTTCTCGCTACACGATCGCGATCATCAGGCGAAATAATAGCGTTACAAGTGCAATACGTGTACATGTACGTGTACATGTACGTGTATTGCACATTAACGTGTATGTGCAGGTACATTGTAGCTTGCATTATACGTGTACTCGCGGTTACAGCCTTTACGCAACCGTCGTCCAACACCTCTAGCCTAGGCCCTGGGCTCTTGCGGAGATACACTGATCAGGTCAGCGATATTTGGAACTGCACGATTTGTGTGTGTGTGCGTCATCTGGCAGCCTGCAAATACCGTAAAATTCCGTAAATAAGCCCACCCTAAATAACGTCCATGTCCGATAATAAGCCCAGTTTTACTTTTAGGCGGTGTACACTTCAAGTCCATTTTAGCGCCCATGCCCGAAATAAGCCCAGGGCGTAAAGTGGACAAGTGGTTTACCTCTCAAAACTGTAATTTTATCGCTACATTCTTGGTTACGACCAAAGTTCCAGCTGTGGTTTGATGTACCTGTACCGCGCTCAGTGTGAATGGTGGTTCACTGAAACTAGTGGGTTGCTGATAGATTGATCTTCTGCAGATTGCGTCCGAAATAACGCCCATGCCCTAAAATAAGCCCATGCCCAAATATACGCCCGGTTTTTGACGCTCTGCAAAGTATACGCCCGGGGCTTATTAACGGAATTTTACGGCAATTATTATTGTAGAATGATTCTCCGATTATGATGCGGTGCCAAGATTCGGCGAGTGTAAAATGGCCAAACAAGGCGCTATGTGCGTTGAATGTGTTCATGGTGTTTGACGTGAGCGCATGGTGATTCTGTGTCTTCTCTGAACGACTACGTCACTCTACGTGCCAAAATCCCCAGCATGCATTGTGATGCACATAATCATGTAGGCCAGTTCAAAATCAGTGCACATGTACATGTAGAATGATGTAGTCCTGTAAGGACATACCGGTGTTACCATGGTTACTGATACATGTAGAATAGGACTAGCACGCATTTACCAGCCAACCATACCGATTTGGCCAGGACCGTCCCAGTATCGAGGGTGGTAATCGGCACCCAAACGTGTATTTGTCGCATGCCTCACAGCTATATTTGTACACATTTTCATACCTAACGTTAGGTATGTCATTGCCCCGATTTCAAGTTTTGCAAAGGTTGGCATGTATAGACTAGGTTCTGAGTTGGAGAGAAGCAAATTAGCAGACGAACCACAGAACGTCAGAAGCCTAGTTTCGACTAGGCCTTTCGTACCATTACCTTTCAAGTCGAATGGAGACTCACTAGATTTAGGCTAAGGCCTGTGGAGAATCCATAGAATACAAAGTTGGAAGGCCGTTGGTTAGCGCTATCGAGCAGTGGTCAGGTTCACTTTCTTGCGGTGGTATGTCTCAGTACTCCTTGTCAGTCTGGTGCTAACTTGTACACGTCTGACGGTTCTAAATCTGGTTTGGTTGGTGGACTCTAACGCATAACCATGATCACTTGTGCCTCACCGTTTTCCATATTTTACATTATAATATACCACGGTAGTTAGGAAAAAGAGGAGAATAAAGAGGATAAATGGAAATAGTGGTGCAGATTACTAATGTTGCAGATTGACAACAGCATACATGTATTTTGCAGCATAAAGTTATGTTCGACAAAATAGAAAAATACGAGACGCACAGAATTATTATTACTCAGCAGGCAAAGGCGCGGTACGTTCTTCAATGCCTTCCTGCAGGTCCGGCATTGTCCCAACGACCTCCGTAGTGGCCGAATTGTACCGGTACATAAAACGGGTAAGTCAACCGGGGCTCCCAAGAGTTATCGGCCTATTATGTTGCTCTCAGTCATCAGGAAAGTTCTCACGTCCATCCTGACAGTAAGGGCGTCGGAGTCTCTCCACACGTATGTCCGAGAGAGTCAGGCAGGATTTCGTGCTGGCCGCTCTACAGCAGATGGTGTCTTCCTTACCAGAGTGTTGTACTAACGCTCAGCTCTTGGTGACTGGCACTACTCAGCTGCACTGTTGTATTCCTCGGGTGCCTTAAAGGCTTTGACACAATAATCCGCCAAACAGCTCTGGAGAGGATGATGGCAGCAGACTGCCCTATCAGAATGCCGGAAACACTCATGTCCAACACGTCTGCTCGGGTAAAACTCAGCAACAAGCTCAGTACACCGTTTGACGCGAACATTGGAGTTGTCCAAGGCGACCCACTTTCCCCGATAATGTATAATTATCATGTTTGCTGAAGGAGCTATGCGTGAAGTTGATTTGATTTCCTTTTATTCAGTTAGACCCTGTCCACACTCTCAATACGCAGACGACACTACCTTTCATGCCACTGAGAAAGAAAGAATTACGGCCCTCCTACCTACATGTAAGTGCGAGAAAGTTTTCGCCGAAGACAAGCTTAAACTTAACCTTCAGAAAACCCACACATTTACCGCGTCCAAGGCTGATCCAGAGTGGAAATTAGTGAGGCTCTTGGGCTCTTTGCTAGGATCAGCTGAGGACGTGGACTCTAGAATAAATGCATCAAACCGTGCTTTTGGTTCCGTTGCTTGGGATTATCACAGTATTGAATCTCGTTTATGTATGTTTAAAGTTTAGATTTTGCATGCACTCTTGTACAGCTGTGGCCTCTGGACACTAACGAAGAAGCTGGAGGCTGTGGGGCTGGGAATTCGCCGAAAATCGATGTTTTGGTGCCTCAGCAGCATGTAAATACAATTTTGTAGCCATTATCTGCGAAAAGTGACTGCGACTTTAGGCATTTTCGAAAACGGCCAGCAGGAAAAGACGCCGAAATCAATGGCTGTCAAGAAACAGCGGATAATTGAGCCGAATTTACAAATTTCGAGCTGATTTCTTCTGAAAAGGGTTGTTTCAGTGCCTCTACAGCATGCAAGTGAATGTGCATCTATACTCCGAGAGGGGACTTCAAGTACCCCTATAAGCCGAATTCTGAATTTGGGGTTCATAACATGGCCGAATTTGGACATTCTCCTAGCCAATCCAATAGCAGATTAGGGGGAAAAAGCGGGCCGAATTGGGAAATGCCTACCGCCGACGCCTGGCTAGGGAACAAGCGTCGAACAAGCATGGTCCTCGTGTGGACGCGTGATAATTCTAGAAAGTAATGATATTGCCTGAAATTTTATTCCAGTGGATGATCCATACCAGTCTAAGAGTAACACACATGGTTCCGGTGGTACCTCAGCACCGATAGTTTGAAATGTGGGGAGTGAGATCGATGTTCCTCGCAAGGCAAATCGGGTCAAATTTGATATCCGTAAAAAACCCGATAGTCAATGGAATTGCTATGTGGTCATCCAGACATTCAAATACGCTCAACGAAATTGGTAGGAAAAAGGCCATATTTTCCATTGCAGTCACCCGCTGCCCAGCCATTATCAACGTCTTCAACATTCGTGATGATGTCACCAACATCGAAGGACAGCTCGTCAGCATCATCTGCAGTGTAGCCATAGAGCGCCTTGGCTGTTTTGGTACCGCTTGTGGAAGTATCCTTAGAAGTATCTGAGAGAGAAAAAGAAGAAGAAAACGTCTTTGTGCTTCGCCCGTACAACACAGCAAACAACAACAGAGTTGCACAGCCAATAGCTGGCAATGGCATCCTGCCCCTGCAACACACCCCTGCCCCATACAGCATACATGTGCCCTTGCTGCCGCTGATAGCCTATTCAGGCCGACAGCCCAGCCTTCCCAATTAACTATGCGGAAAACAACAAAAACATATAAACACAAAACACAAAAATAATGCCAAAACATGCACGAGAAAGAAAGAACACGATATGGTCGGGTAATGCCAACATTATGGCTGGCATTATAGTCCCTTTTCTCCAGGTGGCATAATGCTGGCACCATTTCGCATGCAAAATTGGCATTACAAGCATAATTGCCGGTCGACAACGGTGTCATGCATGAAGCTGGCTAGGTCCAGTTCCAAAAATCGTGCATCTGAACCCGTCCGGCTTCGTCCGGAGACTTGACGTTGCAAATCAACCTTCTCAGTGGATTGTTTCAGACAAAACGCTCACTGCTGTTTAAGTTTTTCTTCTACGCTTTGGCCTTCATCCAAGATGGCCGGCCTTCTTAAATCGACTTTTCCAAATTTCAAACTGGCATTATGGAGTAGTGTGAGCATTATACATATTATGAGCATTGCCTTTAGCATTATCGCAACAAATAACTAGCATTACCCGCCCATGCCTACTGAGTTCTACACCGACTATGGGCGGGTGAGAATACGGGCACGTAAATCCTGAGTTCACCACCGATTGTGGGTGGGTGGGAGAGTTCTGGTCCTATCAGGGAAGCAGACCACTGCGAAGTGACGACCACGTCGGGCTGTATCTGCTTTTCGCAGACTCGCACCGAACCACCATGATTGTCATGGCTACGCACAAAGACACGTGCTTTTAAACTCTCTTACGTCCGTTGGAAAGCGTAACAATCCAGTCGGAAGTGAAGTTCAGGTCTCGGCCGCAGATGAAGATACTGAATACATGGTTAATGGGAGTGCGTCCTCCCTCGTGTGGGAGCACTCTTTGTACGGAGTAGATTGGGCTAAATTATGATGAACAGGCTGCACTTCTGAATGTCTCATAAAATAAATCGGGAAAGTTTTAGATTCATTATGTTGCCCAAATCTAGCGTGAAGGAAAAACTCACCACTCGAGACCTCTAGACAGCTAACTGGGAACATTCCACAGTCTCCACTTGGCGAGATTCCCATACACCAGCCATCGTCCGTCGTATTAACAATTTGGACAGTATCTCCTGGTGATAAGGATATTTCGTCACTTTCCTCTGCAGAGGGGATTGAGAAGAATAAAAGAAAGCTCCTGAAAGTCTCATAAACCTCCGAAATATCGGACACTCAAGGCATCTTCTATCAGTTCTATCACACTTATCAATCGTCCTTATTGGCGTTACGCCATCGTGGAATAAAAGAATTATAATTATAAGAAAGAAGAAGGACCAAGGAACTTCAAGTTACGCTATAATGTCCACTAACACCACCAGTTACTAAACAGTCAGCTCATGCTATAACATTGCACGACACAGACCGACGGTACTGACGTTCTACATCTAACTGGCTAACAGCTGTAGCACATCTAGGATGCGCACTCCAACAGCCTTCCAACTGGGAAGGTTCTAAGTTATAGAAATAACAAAGGAGGGGAAGATGAGCGCAACAAGGATAAGCACGTGCTGAAAGTCTCCTTATGTTATTTCTATAACTTAGAACCTTCCTAGTTGGAAGGCTGTTGGAGTGCGCATCCAAGATGTGCTAGAGCTGTTAGCCAGTTAGATGTAGAACGTCAGTACCGTCGGTCTGTGTCGTGCAATGTTATCGCATGAGCTGACTGTTTAGTAACTGGTGGTGTTAGTGGACATTATAGCGTAACTTGAAGTTCCTTGGTCCGTTTTCTTTCTTATAAATTTATCCTTGGCTCTCCATCCGAATAATTATTATGGTGAAAAAGGAGAAGGACAAAATGTTACGAGTTATGACTAACTGTCCACCAACGTAATCAAATCTTATACAGTCAGCGATTGCGACAAAATGGATCCAGTTTCTTTCGGCATTCTTTGTTGCCGTGATGCGTAGCTCGTGCTTTTCTTCGTTGCGCTTTCTTTCCCCTCTTGGACCTTTCCGAACCTGAGCCTTCCAAGTCGGAAGGTTGTTGGTTTGCGCCTTGGAGAAGTGTTGGAGCTAGATGTCAGGTCGCCGAATGTCTCAGTACTCCTTGTCAGTTTTGTGCCATTTTGGTCGCACTCGCTGACTGTATAAGATCTGGTTACGTTGGTAGACAGTTAGTCATAACTCGTAACACATTATCCTTCTCCTTTTCACCATAATTTAATTGGCTCACCATCCGAGTTGAATAATAATAATAATAATAATAATAATAATAATAATAATAGTAAATCTTTGCGATGACAATATGTCGTGGCTCAAGTCCGTCATTGCGCAGTCAATGTTCCCTCAAACATGTATGGAATTATGATAATCAACTTTATGCCGACAACAGTGCTAGGGTGAACCAGTGTCACCATTTGACCATGTCTAACCACATTCATGGGCAGGCTAGTGTTCACGTCTGGTGATTTCTAAGTTTCCTATTCGAATCGTGCCGAAGTATTCTTGGGGCAGTGAAAGACAGCACGGATACTCGATCAGTTGTTACGTCCCTGAGTTCAACGACCACCCAATGTAAACAAACTTATCGGAGACAGGAAATGTATTAGGTAACGAGAAACTAACAATTTCAAGCTCTTCACCCACATTACCAATGAGGACTCAGAAAATCCAGAACCAGTTTCCGGGTACTGTAATTTCACAAAATTTTCGGTGTACTTTTATTTTCGGTACTTTCAGTGCGTCTGTTTCATACCTAAAATTTCAATACACCGAACAAACACTAACACACATAATCCAATAGGGAACTGCTTCTCTGTACCGAAAATTTCTGTTCACCTAACCTAGCCTGTTGTCCTCATACCGAAAATATTGAGCACCGAAAATTTCTGAAATTAGATTATTCTCTTCAAGTGGAATGCAATTAGAAGCAAATAGAACAAATGAAATGAACGGATAAACGGCATCACCAGGTTGGTAACCATTACCACGTAAGTGATAAATTATCTGTTCCTGTTTGGTTTCTTTAGCCTCCCTTGTACTTCTAGTATCACATTTCCCACTTCCTCTTTTCGTTTCTCTCCTCTTGTTCATTACAATTACGTCTTCGCTAAAATTTATGGACTGGTTATGGAATTTCTGAGTCCTCATTGATGATGGTGGTGACGAGCTTGCAATATGTAGGTTTCTTTAAAACAGAGAGGTTCCAGGCTGTCCAAGAGAGTGCTCAATACCGATTGGTAGAGCTGGTTCGAACAATAGGAGGACACACTGCTGTTTTCTGATGATCGCTTAGTGTGTGAAACTCGGAGTAAAAACACTTTCTCTGTCCTCCTATTGTTTGTAGTTTTCTTTACCATGTTTACCACCCAATAAGATAATCAGCTCGTGAATTCTAGTGGCCTCGCATTTGCAGTGGTCCGCATACATGTATGCACATGTTGCTGCTCAGTACAATTTCCCGGGCGACTCAACACTCATTTGTTCATGATTCTCTGCTGGCTTGACTGCTGTCTATCTAGAGCAAGTAGGGCTCGGGGAGTCTGGAAATGATTATGACATTGACTCAACACAGTACTCCATTATTCATACGTTTTGAGGGAGTTGAAATAGGAAAAGTCTGAAGAACAAATTGACTGCCATCTGTCTGACCACTAGGACTCGAACCAGGCACCCTCACTTATGGCCAGCGATACCCTATACCATTACTAGTCTATGATAATTATAGTCTGCAAAACAGTGCAGTCTGTAGTACTCACTGGCATGATAGTGGTGCAGTGCACGAGCGGTGCTACCCTTGCTTGGAGGGTCAGTCTGTGAGAGAACGAACAAAGATTGAAAGAGCATTGCCATCGTCCTGGAGAACGAGGTTCGCATTTCTAGGCCTGAATGAAGCATGGATCAGAGTTGAAGCCGGCGGATCCACACTAGAGTCTAGACCATAGTATTTACGTCGGTCTACTTGACTTTGAATCAAAAATCCAGTGCCACTGAACAGAACCCTAATACCACTGTACTAAACTTCAATTCAGCCACGTGCACTTCACACGACACCATAAGAAGTGGTCTTTAAATCTTGTTTGCTGCGAAACACTGCCTTTCTCCGCTAGTCTCATCTAGCTGTTATGTGAGCGATACAGGATGATAACGTTACCTAGAGGAGAGATGTTGTGTTTCGCACTACAGAGACTATGCAAGTTTATGATTCTGATCACCTTTTTCTGTCCAGTTTCGCTTGAGTGGTCCTGAGTCCTTTTCAATCCTTCGTCGGTGTTTGGCGCAGACTGAGAGCTCTCGTGCTGGTCAAGGCGCTCGAGCAGTTGCTTCTGACGGACCAGGGCTTGTTCAAGGTCCTTGATGAACTCACTGATCTGATCATGCGCTGCCTTTGCCTCGCTACGTAGAGCTGCCAAAGACGATCCTTTCCGGCCCTGGTCCATCGGCATTTCTGATTTTTTTCCTGCTGGACACCAATATCACATCATGAAACAGCGAAGACGTTTTAAAGATTCATGAGTTGGCAATAATAATAATAATGATAATAAAACTGGTCGCGTGATGAAGCAGCATAACGATAGGTGTGCAAAGTCATTATTATTATTATTATTATTATTATTATTATTAACAAATGGTTTGCTCCCCACACCGGAGCTCGCGCTATTCCGCCGACTTTACTTGACACTTGACTGACTCACTCACTCGGCGGAATAGCGCGAGCTCCGGTGTGGGGAGCAAACCATTTCTTACAAATCATCGCCGAAGTCGCAACCACTACTTCGTACTGTTGTGCCCAGCGCGGGCTTGCGACTAGTTGGTTTGGAGGTGACAGCGTTGCGAATGACCGAGGGTCCTCGACGTTTGTCTCACCGTCCAGGAGCGACACTGACTCACGCTGCTATCTGGTGTTCACGAGGTGTTTGTCGCGCTGGAAACGGAGCGTCTCTGTAAGTTTGTATCCCTGGTGATGTTTGTGCCTGGAGAGCACTATATAAGTGGTGCTCTTCAGGCACAATCTTCCTCAGCCTACTAAAGCTCAACTGATGAGGGGTGAATTCCCCGAAACACTGTGTATTGAGCAGGGAGTGGTGCTTTCTTGCAGGTTTGCCGAGTCGAAGGTTCGATGGACTTCTCGTGTGCTCTGGATGGCAGTCGTGAGTCAGTCAAGTGTCAAGTAAAGTCGGCGGAATAGCGCGAGCTCCGGTGTGGGGAGCAAACCATTTCTTACAAATCATCGCCGAAGTCGCAACCACTACTTCGTATTATTATTAACTTTTATTTTACTAGGGTGCTTCCCTCATGATGCCTGGTCCGCTTCTGTCCTGGATTCACTACCCCATGCATTGCAGCCACGAGCAAAACCAGCTGAGGCTGAGCGTTCCCTCCATGATTGCTTGTCCAAAGCGCACATTCTGAGCCCACTCAGATCGGTCATGAGTTGGTAGGTGTTTTTAAAAGAAAATATCCGAAAGTTTGCACTTTAGACTGTTTTAATTCAATGCTAGGGGTGTCCTGATTGAGAAAATCAATATAATTATTACGGTACCTACATGTATTTGGGCACTTTGGGGGTGTAAGCGGCAGTCAAAGGTCAGCAAATGAGCGATATTTACCGAAATATGTCAGATTTTGATAACACGTGTTATCATGCCCGTTACCTTCATCTGGTGGATACAATCCCAATACCAATGAAGTCAACAGGACTGGGACATATGTAGGAACTAGGAAGTCTCAGAAACATACATGTAGATGGTACATTGGAAGTATGTTTTTAGCCAGATCCTGGAGATTTTCCACTTCAACGGCCGACTGAAATACATGGCCTGGAAGTACTACAATGGGCAAACAAAATTGGCCGCAAACGTTTTAGTTTTTTCTTTTTCCTACATTGCTATATATGTATCCATAGAACAGACAGACATAAACATTATGGTGCGTAATTGGATGAATAACGGCGCTAGGACGGAGAATTGCGGACTCTTATACACGATCAGATTAGGCCAGAAATTCACAAAATGGCATGTGTGCCCCACTCAGTTTGCCATGAGCAGAAAAGGATTACGCCTGCTGGTAAAAGTACATGTAATGACCCATGCAAGTAAATGAGGCAATAACAGCTTATTTATAACTAGAAAGTTGGTGTCAAGGCACTGTTTGCGATAAAAAAACCCAGCTTGCACTATACGTGTACTCACGGCTACAGACTTTACGCAATCGTCGTCCAACACCTCTAGCCTAGGCTCTTGCGGAGATACACTGATCAGGTCAGCGATATTAGCAACTGGTGAAAACCAGTCCCCGGCCCTATTCACACAGAACCTTTGCGATCACCAAGAGCGCTTTCCAGATGGCATGCCGGATTGTCCTGTGACGGATTTTCTGCTGACTGCAAAAAGTGGATATTCTCGATCACTGAGTTTGCTGGGAAGGCTGTCCTGCTAGGGTTGATTGTACATTAGAGGTTGGCAAATACTAAAATAATAGAGCGCAAACAGTTTTCACGACTTATAGTCAAAAGAGAACATTGGATATCGCTGGTGAGCTATCCTTTGTGTATGTCTTAGACTCCTGGAAGTACGCCAGTCACACGTGGCGAGGACCAAGTAAGTATTTTTAGTTGAACGCGTTCACAATCTCCACGATAAAGACAGTCATTGAGTAGACAAAAGAAAAAGGACCAAGGAACTACACGTTACGCTCTAATGTCCACTAACACCACCAGCTACTAAACAATCAGCTCATGCGATAACATTGCACGACACTGACCAACGGTACTGACGTTCTGCAGCTAACTGGCGAACAGCTCTAGCATACCTGGGATGCGCACTCCAACAGCGGTCCGAGTCCAGCATTGTGTTTACTCTGAGTCTAACTGCAGAATGCTGCATAAACTCACTGCGCTCTGTTGACAGCTTCAAGACCAGGAAAACGAATACCTTTAAAAGTTTAGGTCGCTTGACGGAAAACCAGGCGGAAATGAATAATGAGCACGTGTGTAATGAAATAGAAACTCGGCATCAGGTGTGCGTGCGTGTGTGTGTGAGTGTATGTGTGTGTAGGGGAAGTGAATAATGAGCACGTGTGTAATGAAATAGAAACTCGGCATCAGGTGTGCGTGCGTGTGTGTGTGAGTGTATGTGTGTGTAGGTGTGTGTAGCCCTTTCCCAAAGATGCCATAATTTTTTTGCAACTTATGCTTTTCGCAACCGTGCCAAAACAAGTGCTAGTTGCTGAAATCGCATCCATATTTTCAGAAAAAGCTCAAAAGTTGCTAATATCGCAACCAGAATTGGAGAGTTCTTGTGCAAAACCTACAAAAAAGGGGCCTAGCAGAAATAGCAGAAGTGCATCGACAGCAAACTCGTAGATCTACCCCCCTTCCTGCTGTGAACCACCACTTTACACAGTGCCAGTAGCCTGTTGCATTGTTCAAGTATCCTACATGTACATGTACATCATTCCAGTGCAAGGCAAAGGGAACTATTACTTCAGTGCACAGTATCACAACTACCGTTCATCTACTGTTTCTCTGAAATCAGTTTGAAGGCAGGAGAGAAATGAGCGAGTACGAGTATGCATTTGTCCGACATGTAGTTGGTGAGTCGGTGACTTGACCTTTTGACCCCATGCCATGTCACCAATTTTTGTTTTTGTTTGTTTGAAGTTTTATTTTACATCGCAAACCAAACGGGCATTGATGCCCAATATTATGATGGCGATAGAATAAAAAGTGTGGCTCGATAAAGCTGCACTTGAGAAAATGAGAAAACAGTCAATAGGAAGTATTTGTACCGGTAATTACAAGTCAAGTTCGAACGAAGTAACAATCAGGGAGAAATAGGAAGATGAGGACCTATGCCAGAGGGAAGTGCTATTCGGCCATATTAACCGTAGAAAAACACTTTCAGCAATCTTTTAAACGGGGTTGGACGACGAGTGGACGTGAGTTCCTGTGGCAGGGTGTTCCAAAGCTTCACGGCGGAAACCAATGGTTGGCTGTCGCCAGATGTTCGCCGAGTTAGCGGAACAACGTATTTGCAATTGTCATTGCCACGGGTGTTACTGGGAGGTTGGAGGAATTGCGCTAAGGTTGCGGAAAATTGCGAAATAGTTAGGGAAAATGAAGAAAGTTGCGAAAGTTGGGAAGGTTGCGATTTCTTCCTAAACAACGAAAAGTTGCGAAAAAAGTGACGAGCATCTTTGGGAAAGGGCTAGGTGTGTGTGTGGGGGGGGGGTAACCATGGTAATGATGGCGAAGTGCTGGAAAGGGGTCTAACGTCTTGTCAGTCCATGACTTGACATGTAAGATGGGAAATCAGAGCCTCTTTATCGGGCACAATATACACATGTACGTTGTACAGTCATGATGCATTCTGAATATTTACCCAAAATGTTCAACAAATGTTCAACAAATTAATGTTCAACAAATGTTCAACACAAAGACAAAGTCCAAAAGAAGGCGAAAAAACACAGAAGCATAATACGGACTGACCACGTGCTGAGCATGTGCTAAGCACGTGCTGCACGACCACATGTATCTCAGAGATACATCCGATATCCACTGGACAACTCACTACTAGTACAGTCATGTAGTTACTTACTGCTACTTTCCTACTAGTAGTAGGCCAGTCTGTATTCTGCTTTTGTGATTTTTGACCGTTTTCTAGAACTTTGTGTTGAACATTTCTTCGAACACCTCGGGAAAATATTGATAGTGTTTATTATGGCCGCAATCAATAGGACAAGCCGAATCGACATGGCAACTGTATTCGTGAAATATCAAAAATGTGGAAAGTGCAATAACACCGATGAAAGTAAGAAGTTATGGTGAAGAGAACAATGATTACGGATTCGAACATGCTTTCGCACAGCACTCATCAGAAATCTTCGTTGTACTACTGAATAAACCTAAACAAATGAAATCTTAATAGGAAACCAAAGTAAGATACTTGAATAGTTTGCAGGCAACCTGCCTACACTCAAGAGAGCACTGCATTTCACACAAAACCATTAGAGGTATCGTTTCAACGTTTCGGTCTTCATGACCATCATCAGGAATGAATGAAATTAAAATGAAATTATAATTTTCAAAGTGAGATAAGTAAAAAAAATAACAGCAGCAATGAAAATAATGCAAGTGTGAGCTATGACAATGAGAGAAACTGCGAGAGAAATGAGAAAACTTGTTCCAATCCATAATCGTTGTTCTCTTCACCATACCTTCTTACTTTCATCGTTGTTATTGCACTTACATGTAGTTCTCACATTTTGATATTTCACAAAATAAAGTTTCCAGCGAATTAGATGGTTTGGAGGTATTCAACGTTGTGAATGGCCAACGGTCCTCAGCGCTTGTTCAGCACCTCCATGAGCGACACTGACTCACGCTGCTATCTAGTGTTCACGAGGTGTTTGTCGCGCTGAAAACGGAGTGTCTCTGTAAGTTTGTATCCCTGGTGATGTTTGTGCCTGGAGAGCACTATAATTATAAGTGGTGCTCTTCAGGCACAATCTTCCTCAGCCTACTCAAGCTCAACTGATGAGGGGTGAATTCCCCGAAACACGGTGTATTGAGCAGGGAGTGGTGCTTTCTTGCAGGTTTGCCGAGTGGACGGTTCGATGGACTTCTCGTGTGCTCTGGATGGCAGTCGTGAGTCAGTCAAGTGAGAATTCAAGTCGGCAGGAAAAGCGCGAGCTCCCATGTAGGGATCGAGGAACACACACTTCCCCAACTATCGCCGAAGTTGCACCAACCTCTTCTTCACATGTTGATTCAGCTTGCCTTATTGATCGCGGTCATAATTAATTGTTTTCTCCTCGCCGTCTCTTTGTCTGTGTTTGTCGCGCTGGAAACGGAGCGTCTTTGTAAGTTTGTATCCCTGGTGATGTTTGTACCTGGAGAGCACTATAATTATAGTGGTGCTCTTCAGGCACAATCTTCCTCAGCCTACTCAAGCTCAACTGATGAGGGGTGAATTCCCCGAAACACTGTGTATTCAGCAGGGAGTGGTGCTTTCTTGCAGGTTTGCCGAGTGGATGGTTCGATGGACTTTTCGTGTGCTCTGGATTGCAGTCGTGAGTCAGTCAAGTGAGAATTCAAGTGACGTCGGCAGGAAAAGCGCGAGCTTCCATGTAGGGAGCAACACACAATTCCCCGTGTATCGCGGAAGTCAGTAGTCAGTCGTCCAGAGCAAGCTCGAGTACGCCAGCACTGCCTACGTACACTGTCTCGCGGACAACGTGAGAGATCAGCTGCTACGCATACATGTAAGTAAGGGAGAACTTACATGTAGATGCATATTTGAGCATGACACATTCACGCGCACATCATACTTGCTTCAGAGGTACCACATAATCAGCTTGGACAAAAAGATATCATACTCAGGCCATATTCTTCGTGTTCCGTTGCATCCGCAATATCTGCAGTTCACTCCTCTCTGACATGTTCTCCCTTCGCCGTGACTGCGCTCACACAGATACAGTCGCCCGCGGCCAAGTCAATAATTCCCTTTCCTTACCCATTGTGCAAGCTCACGCTGGATACAAATCTTTTTCATTCCTTGGTGATGACCGCTTCAATGCGCTTCCCGAATCCCTTCGCACAAATCATATCCCCAATTCATTTCGCCAGGAACTTAACCAATTCATTCATCTTCGGTACACTGTAAGGAGACCTAGGGTCTGTTGGTAATGCCCAAGTAAAATTATAAAATATAGTACAAATACAACAAAAAAAGTCGCACCAACCTCTTCTTCACATTGCCATCTTTTTAAGTGTTTATTATCCCCGATGACTGCGATGAGGAGGCTCTGATTTCCCCTTGTACATGTACAAGTCATTAATTTTATTTATTTAATTATTTCACCTACCCGTGGCCAGAGAATATAGGCCAATATGGAGGGAGGGGGGCGGTAGCCAGCCATGGCAGTAAACAAAAACAAAGCAAAAATAAATAAATATTACACATTACTGGAGGCAAAGAGAAACAAATGTGAATGAAGAACTAGCAGTTATTAGAACACGAGCTTCATGTTGGCCTTGAAATCCTTTAGCGTACAGGACGATTTTACTGATAGAGGCAGGGCCAGCCAGAGAGAATAGGCAGCAAAAAAACGGAGATCTGGTATAAGCTGAGGTTCGGGCTTTAGGTAAAGTGCAGGGATTGCGCGTAGGACGAGTGGGAAGAAACCAGTTATATTTACGCAAGTGTGGCGGGGCTTTGTCAAGACGAATAGAATGAACAACAATACACAGTTTTCGATCCGCTTGACTAGAGATAGGGAAGGTGTTAAACATATCATACAGCTCGGCAGAAGGAAAGTATGATGGTTTGCGGAAAAGGACTTTGAGTATCCTCTTATTGTGGACTTCCAGGGTACTCATTAACGATTTACTAAGTAGGGATGACCAGGCGGTTGAGCAATAGAGAAAAATGGGGAGAATATAGCAATGATAAAAAAGGCGAATGCATTCAAGCGGTAGGTGGGAGCAGTGAGACACGAGGTAGCCAACAGCTTTACTGACTTTGCTACAGATATAGTCGACATGTCTACTAAACGATAAGTCTGAGTCAATGACCAAACCAAGATGTTTGTGTTGTTTTACCACTGTGAGGTCTGTGGGGGATCCGGGAAGAGTGAATGCATAGGTTGGCTCTGAGTTCGGCAGGAATAATATCTCAGTCTTGGCGATATTAGGTCTTAGTCTCCAGGTAGTCATCCACTGATGGACCTCGTTGATACCGCGCTGGAGACTGTCTCGCAGCCTGTCTAGACACTCATTGAACCGGAGCAGTGCAGTATCGTCAGCAAATAAGGACATACCTTCAACAT